TGGAATATTTGTAATTTTTCGTTGGTTGACAGTCTATCAAATTGAATTGCCATTGTGTTGATCGTTTTAATTAGTTCAAAGAGTATGGTATTCCTCACATTCCCGATGTTTTCATAGTTTGAAATAATGTGTTCTTTATTGTCTTCTTCTTTTGCGCTAACATACAGTTTGGGTCGGTCTCGTCTTTGTACAGCTGTATAAAAACTACTTCATAAACGAAAAGAGAAAAAGGAAATCAAAATCACTTTACTCCAGAGTCGTCCAAACATATAATTTTAAAATAATCTTAGCCAGTATAAATGGTTCATTAATAGGTTCATTATGGTTGAAATTATCCATCAAAGGAGCAAATTTCATGTTTTGGTGGGTTAAAAAAGTGGATAACTTTCAAATTAAATGCAACAGTAGTATACTGATGGATGGTCAAATCTCATAAATCCTTTCAGAACATACAAATCAAGGTAGGAAAACCCTGAGGTAATAACATGAACTCCAAAAGGAACAAGATTGGGTGCATCAAACGGCATAAGAGTCTCCGGCTATGCATGCATCACCCGTCATGCAAATCAAAAACTCTGTCAAAATTTCATAAAAGAGAATAATACACAATCAGTAAATTTTCCGATCATATGACTATTCTGTAAACTAAAGATCTGAAATCGTGAAAACATGACCTAGTGAGCTTAGACAAAGACCCATTCTATCGGTTAACCAATCATGGCATTGCCTCACTCATTATTCAAAGTATCAGAAACAGAAAGTGAGTATCTGACTTACACAATAAGTTTTCACATGTTACAACTCTTCACTGCCAAGCTGTTCACGAAATATGAAGTCATCCAGTTCAGTGGTACTAAAGAAATGTGTGACGAAATTTTTTTAAGTTCATTCAACATATTGAAAGTATCGGCAAACAGAAAGAAGATGTCTGACAGGTCCGAAAAGTGCTCACATGATACAATTGATCACTGTCAATCTGATAAAATGGTTTTCTTGACAAATATGGTTATTCAAATACACATTATTTAGTAACTTGAATATCTAAGAATAACATAGCATTAATCAATTGCATGATATTGGCTGGATAGGTTCTAAAAATGTTCAACTCACAGCACTATGTCGCTTTAACTATTAAACGTAGTGATAAACCCTGGACGATAAAGATATCAAGCCTAGAGAATACGGGTTTTGATTGCAATTCATGTAATCTTTCTCTTAAAAATGCATCATAAATTTCATACATGGTGTTGTGTAAAAATATATTAGTAGTCCGTATGTAGGAAGACCATCAGTGATAAATGTGAAATGTCAGTATAACATGCTCACATAGAGATTGATACAAATTTCAGGAAGCTGTAATTTGTAATTTCTGAGAGAATAAATGGGGAATGTGTGCATGCAACACAGATTCCATGGGACACAGATGATGCCCCAGCTTGCATATAACGTTATAAAGGAGCATAACTCAAGAACGGTAACAGTGACACTACCAAAATGTGTATTTTATCTGAGTTTTGTAGTAATAAGCATTTTGTATAAGTTTCTTAACATTTGGTTGAGGCAAACTAAAGTTAGAGAACGGTAACGAAAAATTCAGCAATTTTCCAAATTGTAAAGGGGCATAACTCTAGAACGTTAAAGTGACGCTACCCAAATTCAAACTTGATATGTGTTTTGTGGTAATAAGCATTGTGTATAAGTTTCATAGCATTTGGTTGAGGCAAACTAAAGTAAGAGAACTGAAACGAAAAATTCAGCATTTTTTTCCATTTGTAAATGGGCATAACTCTAGAACGGTAAAAGTGACGCCACCAAAATTCAAAATTGATATGTGTTTTGTGGTAATAAGCATTGTGTATAAGTTTCATAGCATTTGGTTGAGGCAAACTAAAGTAAGAGAACTGAAACGAAAAATTCAGCATTTTTTTCCATTTGTAAATGGGCATAACTCTAGAACGGTAAAAGTGACGCCACCAAAATTCAAAATTGATATGTGTTTTGTGGTAATAAGCATTGTGTATAAGTTTCATAGCATTTGGTTGAGGCAAACTAAAGTAAAAGAACTGAAACGAAAAATTCAGCATTTTTTTTCTATTTGTAAATGGGCATAACTCTAGAACGGTAAAAGTGACGCCACCAAAATTCAAAATTGATCTGTGTTTTGTGGTAATAAGCATTGTGTATAAGTTTCATAGCATTTGGTTGAGGCAAACTAAAGTAAGAGAACTGAAACGAAAAATTCAGCATTTTTTTCCATTTGTAAATGGGCATAACTCTAGAACGGTAAAAGTGACGCCACCAAAATTCAAAATTGATCTGTGTTTTGTGGTAATAAGCATTGTGTATAAGTTTCATAACATTTGGTTGAGGCAAATTAAAGAAGAGAACGGAAACCAATTTTGGGACGTTCGTACGGACGGACAAGGGTAAAACTTAATGCCCCTTCGCTACGGTGGAGGGCATAAAAAATCCATTCAGGGACATTTTGTGTAATATATGAATGAATAGACAAGTACTGATTAGGAATGAACATGAAAATGCACCACATTGTATAGCATGTTCACATAGCTTGGTATGAAATTTCAGGAAGATGTGAAGTTCCTGTGAAAAATGTAACGCAAATATTTTATTGAATGGTCAAACAAAAACATGAACAGACTGATAGGGGTAATCCAGTATCTAAAAATAATAAATTATCCATCATTTATTCATTTTATTGACATGAGAAAATCTGTGGATCTTTCATCTGTATAGAATGTAAACAAAGAAGTTGTTTGTGTCAGACAAAACAAAAATCAATATTTTACATTAAAAATATGGTAATTGTCAAATTGGAAGGTAACAGTCTGGCATTTAGTGAATTTAACATTATTAAAACCAATGCAAATCTTTTTTGACTAGTTATGTCAGTTTATGTTTCGTAAAAGCAGACATTCTGACAAAGCTGGCCATTATTTATTATAAAGGAACCCCAATGGTTGACTGGGTTATAGAAATATGGCCATCCCTTGGTCTTCTTCAGACTGGCAACAAAACCCTAGCCAAAGTGGGGCGTCCTTTGGCTGTGTAAATTTGCAGACACATCTGTTCTGAAAGAAGATGTTATATCTGATGCCTCATTTTGAGAGACTTCCATATTCTCTGCACATTAAGAACCATTGCAACAACTCTTTGAGGGGAGGGTCGTTTAGTAGGTGGCCTGTTGCATGGCTAAATTTCTGTCCATTTCCAATATACTCTCACTTCATAGTCAGTGGCGGATCCAGAAATTTCCATAAAGGGGTTAGGGGGCACTGACTGCCACAAGAGGAGGCCCGCTTAGTCATGCTTCATGTTTCAGTGATTCCCTAAATAATCAACCAAATTTTTCCCACAAAAAGGGGGCCGCGCACCCTGTCCCCCCCCCCCCCCCCTAAATCCGCCTCTGATAGTGGCATTCTGGTCGACGTCCTATTGGAAAACCTACCTATTGTATTTATTGTTAACTTGTTCTTGTCCTGTCAGAACATGCATGAACTATTTGCCACTGTATGTAAAGTGACTGACAACAGTTTATCATCATTTTAGGGGTATTAAATATATCCCATTCAAGGCACATTAGGATTAATTTACTATTCAAATTAGACAAAATCTTAAAATATCTTCAAAACAAACATAGAAGCCATAACAAAACTAAGATTTGCTGGACTTCTGTGTAATTTTATCTGAAAATTTACATCACTGGTTTTTGATTTGGTAGAAAAATTGATAATAATTAAAACCCATCATAAAATATTTGGTTTTCAAAATCAATGCTGCTAAGAGGTTATCTATTCAAAGGCACTCTGTGATAAATCATATCTTTCAATTTAATCAATGTTGAATGTTGATTTACAAACTTTTTAACATGACCCTCCCGTTGAAAATAATTTAAAACGGACATATATCATTTTCTGAATTGGACAGCTGTTTGAGTTACATTTCAAAGACACAAGGATAGTTTTTTACATTTTATTTCTCAAAATATTTTGCAAGAAAACACCCTTATCTCTCAACAGTGAGATTAACAAAATTGGTTATAAATTACCGTACAAACTTGAAAAAATTGGGCAGCACTTCCACCCCCTACCATATAAATTCCATCCAGAACAGGAGGGAATCAAGGAAAAAACGATAGGTGTGGGTCAGACTCATTTATAAGACATAAAAGCATACACAACCTCATGCCAATGATAGAATATGTTAAAAATACAAACCTATGCAAGTTCCAATTTCTCAATGAACTACAGAAATATTTTTTTTTCTACAGGTTGGAGAGGTTGGGAGGAGGAAAATAATGCTTAAAAGCTTAAAGTACAGAGACCCCTAAAACACTTACAATTTATGACCTCTGAAAAACTTTACATAAGGGCCAAAGGTGAACAGCCTCAGTATCCCACTGTTGCAATTATTTCCTGAAAAAGTCCAGAGGTTATGTACTCTGTGGTAAAAACATCACAGATTTCTATCATAGACAGAAAAAAACCAATTCAAGTATCACAGACTTTTCTCTAATCACCTTGTCAAGTTCGTCATTGATGAAACCATGAAAATATAAAGCAACCTCTCATGATTCTTTTGTAGAAACTTTTAACATTTTTTTTATTTATCAATCAATTCACTTTTTCAAAAAATTTCTGTAGTGCAACTGACTTGTTTATTGTATTTCTTACCATACGATGTGCTACATTGGAAAACAAGACTTTTGCTAAAATCATTAGCTACAGGCACACATGACTTAACAGTGGATCACTCAGATGTTTGAAACGGACGCTTATCATTTATCAGGGGAAATCCTTTCTGCCACTGATCACAATGTTAATACAGAATATATATCTTTTGTGTCAAAACTGACAAAATAAATCAAAAAAACTTTTTTTTAGATATTGCAATGAAAACTTTAAGGTGGGGCAATTTTTTAAGGTCGGTCGGTGAAAGGCAAATAGGTAAGAATGTTTTAGGCCTTGAATTTTCTAATGAAAAGGTTTTAAATAATTAAATTTTCAAATATTTCAAATATGATATTCAAAATTATACATAGACTAAAATAATGATGGGGACCTGAAATCCTATTGAATTGTATACATGTACAAGTAATTCACACTAAAGACTGACACAACAGACAAAATAAACCATCTAAGCAACAAAATAAATATTGGGAAGTGGGTAATAAGATTAAGATCAAAACAATTAAATAATAGTCAAAAGTACAACATGTAAACTATCTAAATAATGCCATTGTGGGCCTAGTTATTAAATCTTTGAATCTTGTTTTTATTGGTAAAAATATTGATTTTGTTATCAGTAAAATTAAAACCATACTAAATATTACACATATGTACTTTCTCGGTACAATGTACTACAATCTGTCAATACCTATATTTTGGCATTGGACATGTTTTTCTCTGACTGTTAATGACGTCTTTACACTAAGTTCATTGGATGTTGGATGTGTATTGATTGATATTTTAGTCTTAGATACATGATTATTTTTATTAGTTGTTATTGGCTTTGAACTAGCTGTCAGTTACAGCGAGTACTCTCAGATCTGTACTTAAGTGTCTTTTTTGTTGTAAGAGATGAGGGATTGATATATACCCTGCCACGTCCTGTCTGTTCTTTTGTTTGAAGTTTTTCTTTGTATCGATCTGAAGAATTAAGCCTTTTTCAACTAATTTTTATAGTTTGTTCTTATGATGTGCTGTTACACCACTGTCCCAGGTTAGGGGGAGGGTTGAGCGCTCACAAACATGTTTAACCCCGCCACATTCTTTATGTGCCAGTCCAAAGTCAGGAGCATGTAGTTCAGTGGTTGTTGTTGGTTCATGTCTGTCATATTTGTTTTTCGAAATTGTTTTGTTATAAATTAGGCCGTATGTTTTCTCAATTGAATTGTGTCATATTTTTCATGTTGGGGCCTTTTATAGCCGACTATACGGTATGGGTTTTTCTCATTGTTGAAGGCCGTACGGTTGCCTATAATTGCTTACATCCACTTCATTTGAACTTCAGTGGGTAGTTGTCTCATTGGCAATCATACCACATCTCTTTATTTTATACTGTACATTCCAAACTAGTGGGTAATGGGGAGGGAAGGAGGGAGGGGGGATTAGAAAAACACTGGTTTTGGTGAGTATTTTGTTAGATCTGGTTTCATTATGCTACATTCATATCAAATAAATTCAAAAAATGTTTTCTACTTTATCACAGCCATGATATCTTTAAAAACAATTGTTAACAGTTAAAATAAATCATATTTATTTATGTCATATGTCTCCAATAAATATTACTATACAAAATAGTTGAGGTACTAATGATGAACTGTTGATTATCTGTTTTATGGATTATATGATTACGATCATCAAACCTTAGATAACTGAGACCTACAAAAGATAATGATAGTACATAAAGCATTTATCATATGATGCACATTTTATTACTTCAATGATTATCTCCCTTTGATTACACAAAGTTAGACAATTTGTACTTGTCAGCTTTGGTGTTTTTGTTTGCATTGTTTATTATAATTTATGTACATTAAAAAAGAGGTGTATCTACATTTTAAAAAATCATTAGTTTTGCAACATGAATCATGATGCATTTAACAAGGTAGAGTAAAAAGTGTTAGCTCTAAAGAAATTTGTTTGGTGGAAATCTCTGCTTTTTCTCCTTACTGAAGATCAGTCTCATTTTGATAAGTAAAAAATGACAAATTATTTTCAAAATGTTGTTAGTGTACACAATCTGGACTGCCCAATCTTTATGATATGCCATGTGTTTAAATAACTTCAATAAATACATTAAACTGTAAACCTCTTAAACACATTTATTCCGTTGTTTTCCTCTTATAGTTGATGTGTTTCCCTCGGTTTTAGTTTGTTACCCGGATTTGTTTTTGCTTAATCGAATTATGACTATTGAACACCGGTATACTACTGTTGCCTTTATTTATAATTGAGTTGCAAAAGTATATCAAATATTACAATCTATGGCAAATCTCTCCCTTGAAGGTTTTCGCTAGACAGAGATTTCCTACTATGAAGGTTTAAACAGTTGATACCTATAAAAAGTTGGGCATTGATATTGGATGAAGAGATTGTGGAAAACCAAACCGTCTACATAATTGAGAATTGCTATAAAAACAATACCTAGCTAGAAGATCAATGCACTTAATTCTGTTGAAGTTATTTCAAATGTTTTAACTCAAAGAAAGGTATAGTTCCTTGACTTTTGAATCTAACTAACTTTGCAATTTTTCCCTAACATACCGTTTAGAGATAATATGACAGGCTCATAAATCGGATTGATGTCACTCTAATCAACAGCAATTCCGCAGTTTCTGATAGAATCACTCAACACCAACAATAGCAATTGTAACTGAACGACCTTGTCTATAGCCCTTTCTAGAAACTCATTTCAGGAATTATGGAATTTTCTCTAAACTTATAATTTGAAGTTGGTTATCTCACTTTTCTGGAAGAAAAACTGCTTCAAGGCAATAAAGCTCAATGAAGAGTCAACAATTAGCAGTTTTTAATCCCTGTTAATTTAAAGATAATATGTGGTTTAAATAAACATATAAATTATTAATGGTATTTTGTCTTCCAACATGCTCTGGACTGCAGCGAACCATTATTTCTTCCAGTATACTTCCCAGCAAGGGATTGAAGGGAATAATTTGTATTTAATTGTAGTTTAAAATCAGATTCAGGCTTTCAGAAGTGAGTTTCTAGAAAGTCTTATACTGTGCAAAGTGTTGTTGATTATTAAGGGTTGTTTTTGTTTTCATATGTTTATACAACAAATGACCTGTATTTTTGATTGTACAATAACCACCCTCTGATGGTTGGGACTAGTAGTCCACCAAGTAATATCTGTGTTGGATGATAGATTAACAGTGGAACTGATATCACAGACAGACCTGGATGATTGCTGAATAAAATTTTCACTATTGGAATTCCTGAGAAAAAAACAAGACATAAATGTAATCAAAAATAAAATTGCATTGGTAAGAATTATTTTCTGACTTTTTTTAACACTATTCAGGGTATTTCTGTCAAATTTTTGAAATACTTTTAAGTGAACATGTAAAGAAGAAATATTCTTTGAGGTACATTTTGAGTATAGTACACAGGCTTATGCAGTTAAAACTCACACTTGGTGGTGAATTTTCACTGTACGTCAGATTGTGAGTGATTTGCCATGAAATATCTTTCTGAATATTTGGTAGGCAAAACTATAAATCTAGATATTTTGTGGTTTGTAATTTTATTTTGTAATTAAGGATTATAATGCCTTTACTTTTTGTGGGATGATCCTATTCCAGAAACAAACTATAAGTTTGTTTTTCACACCAATAGTGTTGCTTTCTCAAACTATTCATGTGCAGGTATTTTCACACATTTACAAGACGATTTTAATTTTGAAATTATAAATTTTCCCCTCTTTAGCAGCAATATACCAACTTCACCTGCATATGGGATATACATTTCCCAACTCATTCAGTATTCAAGAGTTTGCAGCTGCTTCTCAGACTTTATAAAACGTCACCAGTGTCTGAGCAGAAAGTTGATGAGCCAGGGTTATGTCAAAGAACGTCTCGTTCTGTTTCTAAAAAAGTTCATTGGAAGATACCAAGACCTTGTTGATAAATATTCCGTATCAACTTCACAAATAATACATGATGGTCTTGAAGTATAGATTCTAGGTACTGACGTTGTTTATCATCTTAATTATGTGTTAAAAGTTCCCCTTTTTTGTCCTTGTATATTTTTAAATCCATATTTGATTATTTACTTATGACGTGGATTGGTACTTATACATCCTGCCACTGTATTATTGTGCTATGGTCAATTTTGAGTTCTTGTCTTTCATTTTTGCTTATGTACGTTGTCTATATGCCATTTTGTGTTTCTTTGTTGAAACAGTTATTTGTTTTTATAGTGATTTAGATTATATTACAATGTTGACTGCTGTATCCCAATTTTTGATGTTTTTACCTATTATGTCTGTTTGTTTTGCTCACATATTGTTATCAATATAAAGGAATTCTATGTGACTGTCATACAAGTGAGAGGTTTAGCTAGCTATAAAACCAGGTTTAATCCACCATTTTCAACATAAGGAAATGCCTGTACCAAGTCAGGAATATGACAGTTGCTTTCCATTCGTTAGATGTGTTTGAGCTTTTGATTTTGCCATTTTATAAAGGACTTTCCGTTTTGAATATCCATTGGAGTTCGGTATTTTTGTTATTTTACTTTTTACATTATAGCAAAATAAGAAAAAATAATCAGTCCAAGAAAATTTCCACATACACAGTATATGAGAGTCATAAATCAGAGTTGTTATTACCTCCATTCATCCTGGTTCAAAGTGATTCCCTAAACACCAGTAATAATTTTATACTGAGTTGACTAGTGTGTACTCCAAACAGCTCTCTTTATGAAAGTAAATCCTAATATAACTACTAAATGTCACAAAAATGGTTCAAAAGTCTGCCACATATATCGATTTCACTGACAGGTTTGCAACTTCATGTATGTGCCATATAAGGAATATACATTTCTGAAACCTTATTCTTCAATATAGATATACATAAAACTTCCTTACCTAATGTTAAAGACTTGTGGGTACAGCAGAAGAGAACAGCGACTGCATCAGGTGGTGTAAATAACTTAAACATAAAACTTCCTTACCTAATGTTAGAGACTTGTGAGTACAGCAGACGAGAACAGCCAGTGCATCAGGTGGTGTAAATATTTTGAACATAAAACTTTCTTACCTAATGTAAGAGATTTGTGAGTACAGCAGAAGAGAACAGCAACTGCATCAGGTGGTGAAAATAACTTAAACAGCTGTGTTATTGTCATAAATATACTAAACAGAAGTACACACTGGATTATTACAACTGAAAGTATAAAATGTTAAAAATAAAAAAGTAAAATGCAAGTTTGAAATTTCCAAAAAAAGTAAAATGCAAGTTTGAAATTTCCATATCACATAATTCATGATTCATTGTAATTCTGCACATAGCTTATAAATGTGCTAATGTGGCATTCAATTGATCAGTCAAATCATTAGTCATTTTATAAACATGAAAATTAATAAATATATCTACCAAATAAGGTAATTTCTCTAAGTTTCATGTGCAGAGTCTGAAATCCCAACTTCAAAAACACTATTTGACTGGCTTGCATAGCTGTCAACTTGCGGAATTCTTTCTACTCCGTTTTGAGAGTAATTATTATTGCTACTTTTAAAGAACGGGCAAAATGCAAGATTAATTATTGTGTTTGTAAAAAAAATCAGTATTCATATATATGTATCAAATATCAGAATGTGAGTTCTTAATATTGCGATACTCACCTAATTGCATTATTCGCATTAATAAAAACCTTGCAATAATTTCTGAACTTACAGTATGGTTAGGGATAATAAATTTAAAAATAAGGAGATGTTGTATGATTGCCATGAGACAACTATCCACCAGAGTTCAAATGAAGTGGATGTATAAAGGGTGAAGGTATTTTTCTATTGTTTTAGAACACCAGTGGAGTATAGTTTTAATGGTGGTTGGTGTCAGTCATTAACCATGATTCTTAAAGGGGTAATCAAAACATCATTAGCTCAAGTCATGGTAGTGATTGGAACTTTACTGGATTTTCCAGGCTTTAGTTTCTTCAGTTTTGGTTAAAAAAAAATAGCATTTTCAAGCACAGTGGTGGCCATGTTTGATGAAAGCAAGTTTTAAAATGTCATTTCCAAAATGAGTTAATCATATCAGAATTAAAGCATTTTTATTTTTATATCATTTCCTCTGAAGTGTTATACTAATTAATTATTATTAATTATGTAGTTAATAAATAAAGTTGTTCCCATTATATTTCAACTTAAATACAGAATACTAACTTACTTAAAAATATAACAGACATCAAACTGATAAAATCTATACCAATATTAGCATTGGAAAATGTATCACAGAACGTAGTGTAAATAATCAGCAACAAAATACAACTGAAAATATACAATGGAATATAGTTACACATTGTTGACTCGTTAATATTCCTAATAAACCAATTTTTGTGGATTTCATTGGTAAAGGAAAACCATGACATAAAATGTTTGAGGAAATACATTTTTTAGTTATTTTGAAAGGTCCTGGAGCAAAAGTTTTAAACAAAATGGAACAATAGAAATAGCATATTTATATCAAACCAAAAATTGATGTCTGAGAAAATAAATGAATCCATATTATGACCTGATGGTACAACATGATACCTGTAACATTAACTTCACAGGAACAAAAGGTTCAAGATCACAGTTATGCTAAATATACCAGGGGATTATGAAGCTCAAGCTAGCTTTCAGTTACTGTTATATTGCAAACTGTGCTCTTTGTGCAGTCAAATCTCATTGACCTTATAATTTCAATAATACAGTCACTGGCCATATGAAGCTTTGTTTGTGACATTGAATGTGTGTCACAGAAATTTTATATTAATCATTGGTTTTTATCCGAAAAATTTCACTTGGAACAGTTGTAAGAGTTGCATTATAAACAGAAATACCATAAATGGTCTAAATTAAATTTCACTCTAAGCCTGGAAAAACTTCTGGTGAAGAAATGTACCTGTTCTGAAACATCATTATGACACCGACACTGTGGTCAACTTTGAAGTTACTGATTTAATTCATATGTACAAAAACAAGCAACACAGTGAATAGTGGGAAAAACAACTTTTTTTGTGTGTGGAGATTACACAAAATCATATTTTGGGTCTTTTTAACAATCACAAACATGCATTCAGGACAAAAGTTGTGGTGAGTTTTTAGAGTATCTGAAAAACAAAGTATGGGAAATCGTCTTTGATATCAATGCCCAGCTTGCACTTAATAAAATTAAGAATGGAAACAGGGAATTTGTCAAAGAGACAATAATCCGACCTAAGAGCAGAAAACAGCCCAATGCTACCAATGGGTCTTCAACATATCGAGAAAATCCCGCACCCAGAGGCAGGCTTCAGCTGGCCCCTAAACAATAATGTATACTTGTTCAGCAACAATGGACATCAATCACACTTAACTTTGAAACATATAAATGAACCAAAATTTAAAAAACATACAAGACTAACAAAGGCCAGAGGTTCCTGACTTGGAACAGGCGCAAACATGCAGCACTACATATGCAATTGTTTTTATTCGAAATTTAGTCCTTGTTTGATGTCACTTTTTTCATCTAAGGTAAATAACATGCTAAAAGTTTGTGGTAGATATAAATGATGCTAAATACTCTCTGCATGTTTTTTCAATATTATGAATATTCACTGTTGGAGATTTTATTGTGGAAAGAAAAAACAAATTGGAAGATATATCAACAAAAGAAATGAGCTTGAAATGTGAATGAATGGATACAGAGTCAACTCTCGTTATCTCGAAGTCAGCCGGACCAGAGAAATATTTCAAGATACCCGTAGTTCGACTCAAACGAAAACCGGAAGTTTGACAGTCCAAGGGACATAACTCTTGCTTAGCTTGGGAAGGCTAAAATAAATCTGGATGGGAAGGGGATCGATATTCTGGTCTCAGATCGATGTTTTTGTATTTTATGGTCTTTTATTATTATAATAACATTTCATGTCTCTTATTTATTTCTTTGTACAGTTACAATTTGTCCCTGTGGCTTTTAGCCGAGAGAGTCATTTCCAATCGATCTTAGCGTTATTTAAAGTTGACAAAATTGTTCATTCTCATTTACAAGAGATATTAAAAAATTTAGATTTCTTTTAATTTTCTTTCATTAAAATATTTTTCTGCAAGAGAAAAAAAGAAATAAAAATAAAGATGCTGATTGAGTAGTTTTGGGTTGATCACCAAAGGAAGTCTTAATCCCCACTTTATACACAGCCAAGCTCATAAGTGTATGATTACGATTAATTGTTTTTAAAACATTTTAAATATTTTTTCATAAACTATAACAATGTATCACTAACTATTTATCATGGTGATCAAAGAATCTTAGGTAAACACTCGTGGAAAAAGCATGTCATAAATCAATACACTGGTCAGTGACCGGAAATTTAATTACACATGTATTGTCAGATTAACTCTTCAATCCATTTAAATCCCTGAGGTCATGTTTTGACATATGTGTTTTGGTTCGAGATAAATAATGAATTTTGAATGGTTTTGTTAACCTTGGGACCATAAATTTAGTTCGAGTCAACCGAAATTTCGACTCATTCAATTTCGACTCATCAGGAGTCAAAATACATAGTTTTATATGGAACAAAGTTCGGGACCACGAGAAAACTTCAACTCATCCGAAATTTTGAGTCAAACGAGTTCGAGACAGCAAGAGTTATCTGTACTTGAACCAAAATGTAAACAAGATAATGTAAAATATATCAGATGGAACTTTTATTCAGGAGTATCAATTATCAGTATGTACGATTATTAAAGGTTAATAAAAAAAACTTTACTTTAATATCAACAAAATGTGTATTTTCCATTGTTTTGTCGTGTGAAAAGTTCTGAAAAAATGAATTACAACTCATGGAAGGTTTTTATACAAATCACAAATATAGAGATATTTACGATTAAAAATTATTTATTCATCATTTCTTGAAATAAAAATAACTTTATAAATTTGGTGTGTCCATAGCACTTTTATGGATTTACCTTCATCAGGAATATACACTGTACATACTTAGAACTAAATGTTTTAAAGTCATTGGTGTATAAATACTTGAGGGGCTATATTCAACCAGAAAGAACCTTAAAAGAGGGGGGAAGGATACCAAAAGGATATTCAAACTCACAAGTCAAAAACAAAATGACAATGCCATGGCAAAAAAAAAGACCAATAGACAAACAACAGTACACAAAACACATTATAGAAAACTAAAGACTAAGCAACACGAACACCACTAAAAACTGGGAGTGACATCATGTGTTTCTGAAAGGGGAAGCAGATCCTGCACCACATGAGGCACCCATCGTGATGCTCATGTAAGTACAAACCAGTGATAAGTTTAATTTAGTAGGTCACATTCGAGAAAAAGATGACGAAATTGTCGTTACGACAATTGGAACATATCCGTTGTCATCTGTAAAAACAGATATTCCATAACGGTCAACCAACTTGTGATGGCATCAGTAAAATTTTTCGAAGGGATGATTTCATCTTAACCACTTTGAACACTTAAAAGAAAAGCTAAAACCATCTATTGTCAAGTTTGCCTGAGGGATTCTGCTCCAAATTTTTCTACTTTTTTTAGAAATTTTATTTTGCATGCCAAAATCAGGTAGAAGTAGTTTCTCCTTGTCTTATATACGCAAGCATATTACAAACTGCAAGTTATTTTCATTTGATTACCCAACTACTGTCTACTAAGTGCTTTTGTATACAATAAAAGGACAAGGAGACATTTTATTTGTTAGAATGAAACTCTTACTTTAAAATCTACAAAAAGTTATGTTTATTCATTAAATATTTTATTTACCTGCCAATACAACTGAATGGTATATGTTTTCTGTCTAACCACAGCTTTGCATGTTTTCTTAAGATCTGGCCAAGTACTAGAGGAAAAAGAACTGTGAGAGAAAGTTGTGTAGCTATATTGTACACAGGTACATCCACAAGATTACCAATCTAAAATAGAATAAATGTGTGAACATTAAAATGTTACCATTTGTTACGATTTGTAGGTTTTTTTATGTCTAAAATGAAGTACTGTCAAGAATCTTTGCTTGTAGTCATACAGTACTGTTAAGTCTTTTTTTAGGAAATTCTCTATTGATTGTTTCATAAAGATAATAACAGCTAATTACAAACTGAAAAAAGTATGAACATATCTTTATAACAACATTTTATAATTGACTTCTTGACTCTTTCTGTTATGATTTCAGCCAATAACTAAATATTTTCTTACTATAAAACTCTTTAAGAGTCTTGATCTCCGGTTAATAGTTTTCTCATTGGTTATTATACCCTATCTACTTATTTCTATATTTAACATACGGTGCCTATTCTTTTAGACTTTCATGAGGATTTGGTTTAAAGAATGCTGGATATGCCTTTACATGTTTTTTGGGAACGACCTTCAAAAAAGATTTGGGGGGGGGGGGGGGCATTCACCCAATATAAGTATGCTGAAAGAGATGATATAATAATGGTTTATAGAAAAGTTACTGAATAATTCGGAAAATGGAAAATATCAAGCAGAAATTATAAGCAACCCCCCCCCCCCCCCCCCCGAAAAAATTGCACCCTCCCATGGAAAAAAATCAAGTCATCCAATTGTAGTCTTATAATAGTTACTGTAGATCCCTCATCATTATTAAAATTAGTTTTCAAGTTGTGACCATTTGAAATTGTTTTTTTTTACAATTTTCCTGTAGACTTCTATAGTAAACAACTATGTTCTATTTTTAGCCATGGTTGGCCATGTTGGTTGGATGGCAGGGTCATCAAATACATTTTTCAATCAAGATACCCTATTGAAAATTGTGGTTAAGTTTAATTCTATTTGTCCCAGAAGATTAAGTGGAGAAGATTTTTGTACAAGATTACAAAAATTTACGAAAATTGTTAAAAATTGACTATAAAGGGCAATAACTCCTTAAGGCGTCAATTGACAAGTTTGGTCCTGTTGACTTATTTGTAGATCTTACTTTGCTGAACATTATTGCTGTTAACAGTTTATCTCTATCTATATTAATATTAAATATAGTAACCAAAAACTGCAAAATTTCCTTAAAATTACCAATGCAGGGGCAGCAACCCAACAACGGGTTGTCTGATTCGTCTGAAAATTTCAGGGCAGATAGATCTTAACCTGATGAACATTTTACAGTTTTTACCCCATCAGATTTGCTCTAAATGCTTTAGTTTCAGAGATATAAGCCAAAAACTGCATTTTACACCTGTGTTCTATTTTAAGCCATGGCGGCCATGTTGGTTGACAGGCGGAGTCATCGGACACAATTTTAAACTATATACCCTAATGATGATTGTGGCCAAGTTTGGTTAAATTTGTCTCAGTAGTTTCAGAGGAGAAGATTTTTGTAAAAGATTACAAAAATTTACGAAAAATTGTTAAAAATTGACTATAAAGGGCAATTACTCCTTAAGGGGTCAATTGACAATTTTGTTCATTTGACTTATTTATAGATCTTACTTTGCTGAACATTATTGTTGTTTACAGTTTATCTCTATCTATAATAATATTAAAGATAGTAACCAAAAACTGCAAAATTTCCTTAAAATTACCAATTCAGGGGCAGCAACCCAACAACGGGTTGTTTGATTTGTCTGAAAATTTCATGGCAGATAGATCTTAACTTGATGAACATTTTTTCCTCATTCAGATTTGCTCTAAATGCTTTAGTTTCAGAGATATAAGCCAAAAACTGAATTTTCCCATTATGTTCTATTTTTAGCCATGACAGCCATGTTGGTTGGCAGGCAGGTTCATCTGACAAATTTTTTAAACTAAATACTCTAATGATGATTGTGGCCTAGTTTGGTTAATTTGGCCCAGTAGTTTCAGAGGAGAAGATTTTTGTAAAAGTTAACGGACGACAGGCAACGGAGACGGACGCCAAGTGATGAGAAAAGCTCACTTGGCCAATTGGGCCAGGTGGCCTAAAAACTTGAATCTAACAATTTCAATGATTCCATGGATATTACTTCTTATTTAGTAGAATGTACTATAGTCACATTTTTATTGATTTCATGTCTTTTCATGCTTTTATTGTTTGCATATGTTTCATGATATCCTTTCATATTTTCCAACTTTAAAACTTACCTAATTGTGTATGTAAATACTTACAACATTTAAAATCAAGGCTGGTGTAGCAAATATACCCTGAAATGATAAATATCTCAATCAATGTATCCTTGCATGTCATATGTACTACACTATCTTGTTGATTTCACAGATAGATACTTTATTCAGACAGATAAATGTCCTAAAATATCAAATATGTATAAAGATGACAATAATAGTCCAAGGGATGGAGGCTTTAATCCAGTTTTTTTTTTAATTTGTTTCTTGTTTCATGTTATTGATTTAAACAAGGCTGCTGTGGTTTTTTTTTCATTTTTCTATATTAAGCTCACCAAGGGATTCATATAGTAGCTATGTGTCCAAAGATGAAGGTGAACGGTGACTTTTAGATGTAAACTCAAATTTTTGCCTTCCTAGTTCTATTGATCCTAGATGGCCAATTGTCTCATTGACAATCAAACCATATCAACTTTATTTTATAGAATAGTATTTGGTTCAAATAATTGTGTGTTGAGTGTACTTTAAATTCTAAAATGTGGGGGTTTCAAAGAAATAAAACTTACCAAAAAGCTCCCAAGTGCAGAGTTAAATATGGCTGCTGGCTAAAAATGAAGCAAATAAATAATTAATTTCAACTGCAGTGAAAACATTTCAATATTATACAATTACCTATAAAGGTTATATTCCTTGATGTTCTATGACAACAAACCATTATATTGAAATGTTAACCACAGGTAAGTTATGAACATCTTTACTTCATAGCATACTCTATTTTTAAATGTCAATAAGAACCTTTTTCAATAAAGCACCAAATGATCTCACTTTAATACTACAATAGACACAGCATTTTAATATAGCCTTCAAAGTTCATTATCAGAGTGCATTAAGTTTAAACAGGCCATATCTCTAAGTCTAATTGTTCTCCATTCCTTGACATCACAGCCATTCACGTAAAATTGTAATGTTACATGAGACAATGTCTAACGACACAAAAGAAAAGTGATTGTTGTATGACGTCAATAATTCAAGTGTTGCTGTTTCTGAAATAGATATAAGGTCTATACATTTCTATTGTCACAGAGTCATGTACAAAGTCATCTTTCCTGAAGGGGATCTGTTTAGATGTTTCAAGATGTTTCATAGTATATGAAATTAAAAATAACTGATAATTTTCTCACCTCATTGCCACCAATGGCTTTTGTAAGGATAACAGCTGATGAAACTGGTGGTGGCATACATCCTAAAACTTTCAAGCTGAAAAAATACATATGTATATGTCAAAAGGATGTAAAATTTTACCACATACGGCACATGCATGTCCCAAAAACATATGTTTGCTATACAGTATTAACTTAAATCAGACGATAACTTCTTTATTTTAAATTTTCATTTAGACGAAGACCTTTAATTGCTTTTTGATGATTTGAAATTGAAAACTAGATTTTTTTATCCATTGTAACTTATGACAAGGGAAATTTAGTGCTACGTTTTATTTATCAAATCTGTCAAAGTAATCTGACATCCTCAGTAATATTGGCAATAACAACACATGGAACATATATCATTACGCTAAGTTATCTCCCTTGAAACTGGATCAACTTCACATACATGATTCATCAGGTGTATGGGCAGGTGCACATGTTGAAAAGGTTTGTTTTATGTTTATTTGGTCAAACATAATTATGATAATTGTTCCATTAAATAAGTATTTACTGTTTCTTATAAGCCATTCTATGTTAAGAACTAGCACAATACAGGAGATAGTAGGTCCATCTCATGCTGAGTAAAGTAAAAGAATTCAAAACTAGTATTTGCTTCCTGTGCCACAAGCTCACTGCATTTAGGAGTAATGGTTCAGTTTGTGTGTCCAATCTAAAATAATACATAAAGGTACCATACATGTATTAATTATATTTTCCCTCTGAATATGGCTGAAAAAAAATCCAAATTAAAATAATAAAAAAAATTTCCCTTACAATACATCTAAATTTCACACACTTACCCTTGTAAGAGAAGCCCATCAAATGATGACAAAGACAACATGTTCACTAACACTACCATGATGCAGGGGAAGATAATAAATGTAAAACATTGGATAAAGAAGTGAATTCTTATCTGTAATACAGCTTTAGTCAGATCCTGGAATAAAATACATAATATATCAACCAAATGTGATAGTACTACATAAATACCCCACCTGCAGTATAATTTTTAAATAGTACATTTCTGGGAATTCATAGGAAAAGTGAGTTGTACCAGGAATATACATGGGTTTCTTCGTGGCGAATGCAGCAAAAACTGAAATGTTCATTATGTATTTTATGAACCTCAGCCCTCTTCATAATCAGTGACTGTCTTCTGTCATATCTTTGATAATTTTTTTGTCATTTGGAGCTGAATGAAGATCTTAATTTCTGTTTATATGTACAACTTTTATAGACTCAGGATGATTTAGAGCTTGACATATTGTGAAGACACCAGTCTATTGTTGTATTCTGTACATTGCCATCTAGATGTCTTTTGTTTACTTTTGTTGTTGTTGCTGTCTTGTTTAAAGATACCCCACATCTCCTGTTATTCATATCATCACAATTTATAAAGAATATGTTCATGTATGTTCTTTAAAAAAAAGCTTTCTGTGGATTCATTATTTTTTGTGAGTTTCATGGATTGAGGAAGAGTTTGTATTTATTGTTGAAAATTGATTTTGTTGTGCCTAAAGGAGTAGGCCCAGTAAGAACCCTTTTTGGCCCCAAAATATAGCAGTTTTACAGAATTGTTAAAATGTAAATTTTTAGCTATTTATTGGAAAGAAGAATACTTCTGTTACATAAATATGGGCTGTTTTTGACAATACAATGCACATGTATCGGGTACTAGCATCATTTATAAGTCATGCTAAATTACTGAAATCTTCGAAATTTTAGCATTTTGGTTAATTTTTAGACGGTTTCGTGCTGAAATGGAAGTGGCCACATTTGTGTTCATTCTTAATATTTAAATGTAAGTTGTATTTGATGATAATACATAACATATATAAAGGTTGAGAATGAACACGGATGCGGCCACTTTCATTTTTGACAAAAACCATCTGAAAAGTGACATATTATGGCATATTTGATAGATTTTTCATATTTAAGCTTGAATTTGAGCGTCTTTAATGACTTAAACAGTTCAAATCTTTCACATAAACTAATTGAATCGACTGAAGTAGACACTTTAAGTGTTTAAAAAGTGTCCAAAATCTTTCATCAGATGAACCTGAACTTTGAGGCCAAAATCGGCCCTTACCGGACCTACTCCTTTGCTTTCAAACCCAAATAGAAAATTTATACTTTGAGGAACATTTATATACCTATACCACAGAAATCTATGAAAATGGGTTCCCCACAAAAAATGAATTCACACTTTTTCTCTAATACTGTACCTCTGTTTTGATAGAAATCCCACTGTTAAAAAATATTATGAAAACAGCCACATATTTCACTGTTATTTCTGGCTTTAGTAACCCTACAAGTAAAAAGTGACATATATGGTTTCATTCATCTTTGCAAAAATTAATTACAATCTCTTTAACATGTCTGTCACAAAACTTTGTAAAACATTTATTCTGTATTCTAGATAATGATTTAAAAGTATTTGTTTGCTTATTGTTGAAGGTTGTACAGTGCCCTAAAACTGTTTACATCTCTGATGGAAAGTTGTCAAATTGTCATACCACATCTCCTTTATATTTTTATATCCTTGATGTTTTTAGCACAATTCAAGTTAGTTTGAATTATTTCCTTTTAACATAAGTTAAATCATGTATATGTCTTTTTGATTGTCAAGCAGTCTGTGTAACTGGTCAACATCTTTAGTCATATTAAAAAAATGGCCGGAATAAAAATAAATAAGTATATCTGAAAATCTATAGCTTTAATTTACAGATGTGCTAAGTGGTGATTTGAGACTAATAAAAAATACATCTATTAAAGAAAAATAGGGAATATTAACAAATCTACTCAATTTTAAGAAAAGAGTCCATAAAACATTCTTTTATATTTTTATGTTCAGTGAACCATGAACCTTAATTGGGCATTTAAAAGTTCACTTAATGAAATACAAGTGTAAGTACTACATTCCAAATTGATGTGAAAACAACTTTATCATATAGTTGATGGTAAATTACCTTTAACCAAAACTTCAACCTTGTGTTTATGTAAGCGTACTTTCATTCCCCCGTGTATTTATTCCGGGTAACTGTTTTTCACTAGAGAATATTGGATGTAAATAGTGTGAAAGCATCGATCTTGATACTTGTTTTGTGTATATAAGACCGGTTTATTGTTTACATAAATAAATGGGTTAAAATTAAAATGATTTTCAAGGAACCAGTTAAATTAATCTGAGTCAATCTAGTAAATAATATTGATGATGATGATGATGAGGTGGAAAATTTTATAACTCAAAATACTTTATCAATGATCAGGACATTGAACTTGATACAAACCAAATTTAAAGAGCAGGTTTGTACTTACATACAATGTAAAGCTTCAATTACAGAAGCATTCTTTGATATTGACATAGAAGATATGATTTAATATCCAAGTTGCCTGGAAAGCAAATACATAGAAAAACTTCGGCAATCCAATAAATATAAATATTACAATTAGTGACAATTTAAAAGCATATGATTTTATAGATTTGCATAGAAAAATTATTTAAATCTCATTCGTTAATAAGCATTATTGTGTTATCGTGTGTTCAAAATAAGTACTAATCACTTCATCAATGAATGGATCTAAAGCACTAGACTAGTAGTGTAATTAATCTCGCCGGGTATAAAATAACAAGTGCAATCATTCCGGTACAAAATCACTAGTGTAATCATTCCTGGTTCAAAAACACTAGAGTGAACATTCCTTGGATGTAAACTCTCCACTTTTTACATAAATCAACTATGCAATTTTCAAATACACTAAAAACTATTAAGCCACATTCTATATATATTTCCTCTTTAAAAAAACCTTTTTAGAACCTTATAATGACTGGTGGATGTTTTACACTGGACCCGGATAGAAAACCCTAGTGATTTTTTGTTGGTGGATAAAAATCACTGGGGATTTTCTTCCTCCGGATAGAGTACACTGGAGGAATCAAACCACTGTTACATTTACATCTAACAAAAATTACTCTTGAAAGAGTAGACAACCCTAGCTATAGGCCTGTCATTGTGCAGTTGGAAATATTTTTAGGTCTGGCATCCAATAGATATACAAAAATTATATGCAGTTTGTGTTTCAGAATGATAAAATCTATTATAGAATTTTGGTTTTTAATATGGAAAATTTTTTAACAGAGAGTTGCATAGAACCCTTAGTCTGATCTAATTATTAGATGTAAATTCTTATAAGAGAGTGTGAATATAAGGAAAAGTTTAATAATATGATATATTAGTATAAAAGTACAAATGTATATGTAACTTTTCATTCTTTCACGTCTTTTATTTCATCATATATGCAATATGCATTTATTAGATGTTTCCACTTTTCTGTTGAAAGACCTATAGCTATATGCTTTTGTTCTGATTAAGGTAGATAGGGTGTCTTCCTCCATCTTGGATTTTATAATACCTGAAAACAATCGGTCTAGATCTTTAATAGAATGTGCAAATTTTGAGAGTAGTAGGTAATTCATGTGTAAGAATTTTCATTTCAATATAGAAAATGACATGTTTTATCATATTTATGGTTGTATTTTACAAGAAACAGAAAACTTTTGTTTGATTCAATTTTTTCCAACTTTGCCACATAAGGGGAGGCAACTCAAATGTAAGGGCAGATAATTCAGATAAAGGTACTTTTACAATAGAATGTGTTAGGAATTTTCCTATTTTATTATGTAGCAAGAAAACGGGTCCGGTGACCCCATTTTTTCTTTTTCTTATCTGAAAGCATTCTATTAAAGCTATCTTCTCATATTTTATCTCAAAATTCTTTGGTGTAGTTTTCGTTTTATGGCAGAAAATTGGGTTTTCCATGCATTATAAATCTATACAAAATCTGTTAATTTTGAACAACCTGTAGCGTGAAAATAAGCCCCGTGACCCATTCTTTTTTCATTTTTTTTTAAAAAGCTTGATATAAACTACATTTTGGCAAATTATTAAAAAATTCTATGGATTATAATTTAGACACCCCATCTACCTTAAATATTTATTTTCAGCCATATTATTTTCTTCCGCTTGATGTTGCTTAGACCTATGGTATATGATATCGAGTAGTTTATACGCTTTTCAAACTGACACAGCTTAACCGAATACTTTTCCTTGTAAGAGTTATTGCCTCTAAATCTGTTTTTCTTGTAATCATGTTTCTAATATTGGCATTATTCCCGATGGTAGAAGTAACCGACAAATTTATTTTTGCAAATTGCTCTTTACATCCTGAGGTTGTTTTGTTTAATTTTGACCAAAGCGGTATTTGTAGAGATTCCATATGAGAATTATTTACTTATTACCTCCTTTAGCTCCAATATGAGGGAACAGGTGAGCAAATATTATAACAAATACTATTCCTGTTAAAAAATAATGTCTCTTTAAAAGAGACACAAGAAGCGCTATCATTTGGATTCATATGCAGTCGTTAAAAAACAAAAGTAACAGCTTTCAATGTCTTTAAACTAGTTGTCAAATTCCCCCAACCTACAACAACATACATGTGGCGGAAGTGCCCTACAACATTCAAACTTCTACACTTACGCAGATAAAAAAAGTTAAAATTTTACAAGCAAACTTTCTTAATAGATACATAAAGACTTAAATTCTTATTCATAATCGAGATTTAGATAACTTTGATTATTTAAATATGTTCAAATAAATGTTTTCCTTAAAAAGTCCAACAAAGATATCATTCCGCATGAGCTTCCGGAATTTGGAAAGATGGCGGCTGATGTGCGAGCAAGAACTGACAAGCATGGAACAATAGCATTTACTCTACCTATATCATGTCAAATCTGTTTGGGAAAAGTATGATTTTGTGTTCTTATTGATAAGATAAGGTTTTCGTATTTTATTTCTCTTTCACTATTACACATATTTATATTGGCGGTTGGCTATCGCCGGTTTCTAGGGAAGCCAACTACTTTTCCAGTTCTGGAAATAAACGAATTCGTGAAAGACAGCATTTTGTTGAATAAGACATCCTAGAATTGTAATCAAAATCAAAATTTCTAATCTTCAGCCTTTGGAAACTTTGTTTAAATAATGAAGTCTAGAGATTTTGCTAATCACTCTTTTCAGTCTTTGTCAACAAATTACTGTAAAACTGATGATTCCAAGTTGTTGCTGTAAAAAGGTAAAGATATAGCACTCACAAGTAGAAAAAATATACTGGACCAAAGAAATCATAAAATATTCATTATATATTATGTGAACAGGGTTGGCAAAGTATTACCCGCCCAGGAAAACCCAGTTTTTCCGGGCTGGGCAATACACCTTATCGCTATTTAGTCCAATCCAGAAAAAACAGTAATTTAGACAACTTCCTGTTTGGGTCAACAGGCCTTAAACAGGTAAACAACAAAGGTCATCCGTAACGAGCTGCGGGAGGGAAAAATTTAGAAAGCGATCAATACGAAACTTTGATAGATTATGATCCACTTTATCGAAACTCAAATTATAGTCAAAAAATATTTTGTTTGAAGTATTTATGATGTTTTAAACAGATCTCATTTAAAAGTATCATGCATGGTGCATTGTTTAAACAGGGCCCCAGATAGCTTCAACTGGATGAAAAAGTTGTGTAATTTTAGAACTTATCCGGAATGGAATAAATAGCGATTAGGTGTATTATCCCAGAAATGGGCAATACTGGGCAATATGATTTTTTAAGATTAATTCAACGCTAAATAGTAAAGACTTGTTTTAGTTTCATAGTATTATAGCTAATTATATATACATTTTGTACAGATAACTATTGAGAGGAAATCTAGAAGATTGGAAATTCAATTTCATTCTCTTCTCCACTATTTCTATGTAGGCAGAATACAAGATTTGCACATTTTGGGATATCTTGTTAATTTCCAAGCATTGTTTCAATAATCCAAACTTTGAAAAATGCATTGAAAAAATGCATTGTATTGCAGTGTTTAAGTGAATTGTAAATTTAAATTGCTATGCAATCATATTGCTTAATAAACACCCTACAGGGTCATGTCATTAACACTTATAGAAATGAAAAGGCTGATTATTGTTATATAAACATGTCTGTGTTCTAATCCGAATGATTACTTATTAATTAGTGATGTACATATGAATTATTTTAAAAGTGATTTTTCTTACATGTAATTGTTATTTCTTAATATTAGTTATATATATTTGAAAACAATGAATTATTTGGCTTTATGTTATCAGTTTGACCAATCGAGACAGAAGGATGATTTAATAGATTTTTAGAAAAATTATTGAGAAAGGCTTTTTCCATTAATATTTGTCTAATAACTTTGTGTCTTCATGTACACTTTTCTCAGAGTTGCTAGAATAATAACTTCTCAAATGTAAACACTTGTATTATAAGACTCTCAAACAAGTAAACTCATTTATAAATCAAAATATGTTTATAAATATCTTGAATGTGTTTGATCACTGAATCCTCTTTAAATTCAGGCTAGTATTTTATATACCCAGTGAAACCCAGGTTTTCCCAGTATTTCTCACTGGGCTGGGAAATACTCATAAAACCCGGGTTTTTTGCCAACCCTGACAGAGTATGATTTGAATAACTTGTTTGACACCTGAGTCCCCCCCCCCAAAATCCTCCATTGTAAGATTTTTTTTACCTCGAGACATATTTATGACAAGTAAATGACCCAAAGCTTATCAACAATATCAACTGGTGTCATAATTAGTTGTTACTGGTAATTGCTAAACAATGGGCCATAAACGATCATCAAAATTTATTTACACAAATATAGAATCGGTAAGTCAGCATTTTTCATTTAGATTTTATCAAATTTAAAAAGCAGATACAGAAATGTAAATGAGAAGGACAATCTAAGTTCATAAAGATTAATGCTATAAGAAAACTGTAAGGCCAATAAAAATTAATTTACAGTTTTTATCCCTGTCCGCCCCTCTGAAATCGGCCTGCCCCGTTTTTGTTTTTTATTATCTAATTTTCGATTTCCGGCTTGTGTTCATTTCCGTTACCAGCGATAATTTCTTTTCCATCAAGACTTCCAGTTTCAAATTTAGATTTTCTTATTTCTTCTAGTAATTTTACCAAAATTATTAAGTCGACATATTCTGCTGCTCTATAATGACAACATCATCTTCAAAGAATAGATATTGATTAAGAGAATCGAAGGGCATGAAATATCCGAGTTACAAGTAATTACTGGTGTCCAAAGGGACTAAAGATACCAGAGGGACAGTCAAACTCATAGATCGAAAACAAACTGACAACGTCATGGCCAAAAATAAAAAGACAAACAGACAAATAATAGTACAGATGACACAACATAGAAAACTAAAAACTAAGCAACACGATCCCCACCAAAAACTGGGGGTGATCTCAGGTGCTCCAGAAGGGTAAGCAGATCCTGCTCAAATTTCTGTGCTTAGAAAATCATAGATTTTTTTATTTAAACAATGAATTTGTGACAGGAAATTTGGACTGTGAATGATATATATATCCAAAGCCCAAGAATTGTGGAACACATTTGATACAAAAAAATAAGACTGGAATAAAGAAATTGATACAAGCATGAACTGTATGGCCGTATATTGACAACAAAAAGTAGGCCCATCATACAAAATGTTTTATAGCAAGCCCTTAGTTTTACCCTTATAAGGCTGTTGTTTTTTGTTGCAAACAACCTCTGTCCCCAGGCCCTCAATAGAGTCATTAAACAACTTCCATTTTTGGTGAAGTTCATGTTTTACGTTGTAAATATATTTGCACCTTGCTTAAGAATCTTAAAAGCATCAACCCTAGTGTTTTCAACACTATTTGAGTTTTCATTTCTCTCTGTACTCATAATACTACATTTTGTAGTGTTTCATACATGTATCAATGTGCACAGTTGCTTCATAATATGGGCACTACAAACCATAGCTTAGAAAGCAAAATAAAGTTGGTGTAGGTACATTGTAGTCTAAAAGTTTTTGCTATTTACTAAAAAAAGGCTTCTTAAGCAGCAACATTGGTTGCCAATCAAACATATTTATTTAAGAATTTGAAAAATTATATACGATTCCTTATATATAAATAAATACATGATATAAGATTATTATTTACTTTGCATATGAAGAACACGTCACAAAAGGGTTTTGTATGAAACAAAAATAAGAAAATATAATCCTCCCACCCAATTTTGTTTTTTTTTTCAAAAATCTGGAAGGATAATCTAATTTTAGTTGGCCAAATGAACTTATTAAAAACTGTCGTTAGACTTGAATGTTATTAAAAATGTTAAATTTAAAAGTATTCTGTCTTTGTCTCCCTATACATTTGATGTTTAAATAACAAAAAGGGTGGCCATTGATTGTATTCACTTCTTCATTATGAGTTTGACTATTCCTTTGGTATCTTCTGCCTCTTTTTTATATTTCTATTTTAGCTTTATATTTCTATTTTAGCTTTATATTTCTATTTTAGCTTTATATTTCTATTTTAGCTTTATATTTCTATTTTAGCTTTATATTTCTATTTTAGCTTTATATTTCTATTTTAGCTTTATATTTCTATTTTAGCTTTATATTTCTATTTTAGCTTTATATTTCTATTTTAGCTTTATGTTTAAAGCAGTTGAAATAAAATATGAATAATGGTTGTATGTACATTCTTCTTTTATGTGAATCTTTATTTCAGGTGAAAAAACCAGTTTTGTGTCCAAACAATCATGTTTTCTGTTCACCGTGTATGGATGTTTGGTTGGAAAGAAATAAACAATGTCCTGCATGTAGAACAGATATAAACACACTGAAACCCTTAAAGCTGATCATAGGTAAATTTTAATGATGTAATTATAAGAAAAACAATATAACTGAAGGGATGGGAAATGTTTTGGTTTGAAACATTTTAGTAACAATGCATGGGTTAACAAATTTCTTTCAGCTCAAGAAATGTGTATCAAGATATAGCTATTTAGAAACTACAGTGCTAATACAAAAACAAAAAAAGAATCGTATAATTTCTTTCCAAAAATCAAGTCCAATGCTGATACAGAAAATTGAAATACAATAAAAAAAAAACAATTTTCCAGATGCAATTTACATAGTACATAAACCTGCTGCATATATCATATTTTCATGTGTATTTTAAATTTATTCAGGTGGACTAAATCATATAGAAAACGACAAGGACAAAATGAGTAATCCAGATCTAAGAAAAGCAAGATTTGACCTACTATTCAAGGAATATGAGGTATAGTATGTTATAATTAGACTATTCAGAATCCAAATAAACTGAGAATATCTTATAAACCATCAATCAAAGGGTTGTGATTAGCTAAATAGCAGCATTCAAAGGGAATAATCAACCAACAATATAACACAGTTTTCATGGTTGTCAATGTGAATAATGAAATTTACAATGAAAAACAAATTCCAGTCTATGGCCATACATTTTACATAATTTGATTTAAGAGAATAATATAACAAACATGGTAACCATATATTTTCTATGTTTAGTCTAGTTAAGTTTTTTTTCAATCTGTTCCATCAGATTTTACCTACACAAATAATTGGTTTCAGACATGATAAAGCAAAACTTTATATTTCTAAAGAATTTTAAAGGGTAAAACTACATGTATATGCCCTTTAATTTTTCACACTGTGGTTGGCTTGTAAAAACATCATCTGACAAAGAAATTTCTTTCATTATGTAGCCTTTTAACCTATGGCTGAACAGGTGAATTGTATTTAGTAATACCACATGAGGATTTTTATTTTATTTTTTAGGATGAGTTTGAGAGATTGTCATCTGAACTTAATCTATTCAAAGCAGAAAATGAAATGCTTAGAAATCAGATGGCAAAAGATGGGAATAGAAAAGTGTTAGGCCCAAGGGATAAACCGTCTGACGCTACAACAATGTTAACTTTGACCAAAAAGTTACAGGATGCACAAAAACTGTATGAAAAAGTCAAATCAGATTTGTCAAAGGTTAAAGAGGTAAAATTATTTAAAGTTTAAAGTAATAACATTAATGGTACCAATTTTTCTGCACCAAGTATGGATTTCGAAAATTAATGTCTATTCAGTGTTGCTCAAGGCAGAAGTAATTGAAAATCTGAAACCTAATAATAACCTTGATTAGCTAATCAAATCAAAAAGGAGTCCTTTAAAAGACCTTAAGTATATAGTAAAATCCGGACAAAAAAATATTTTTAATAATTTGCCAAAATAACATTTATGTCATGGCTTTTTATCAAAACTATAACTTAAGAGTATTGGCCACAGGGCCTTTTTTAAGCTACAGGTAGTCATCGTAGTCTGAAATTCTCATATTTTGTGTAAACTATACACTGAAAAAAAAATTTAATGTAATACAAAGAAAACTGAACAATAAATTTTACAATAAGATATGAAAAGATAGAACTTAAAATATGCTTTCAGAAAATGAAAAGGAAAATTGGGGTTGTGGACATTTTTTCTTGCTACAAAACAAAATAAATAAATGTACTACACATTACTGTATGAAAATTGTGGTATCTTGAGTTATCTCCCCATATATGGCTCAGTTGTAAAAAAATTGAATCAAACAAAAATGTTCTGTCTATTTGAAAACAATCATAGTTATATGATAAAATACATAATTTTCTTCATTTCTAAAAATGAAAATCAAATACACTATTCTCTCAAAATTTGTATACATTATAATCGAAGATGGCAGAAGATACCAAATCTTCATGTATCTTAAATATCAATTTGTATGGGGGAAAACTGCTTTTACAAAAAAAAAAAGACATCATGAATATTTTCTGATGGAATTAAGAATTTAATTATTTGTGATTTTCAGGAAAATAATTCTTTGAAGGATGAAAATATTAACCTCAACCATGAAAATCAGAAACTGAGAACTGAAATGTCCAGCAGATCTCCTCATAGGTAAGAATAAGTAATGATGATTCCTTTATTTATTTGCATTGAAAATATTTGTCAAACAATGGGTATGAAATCTGACCAAATAAAACCATTAAAATTGGTTATTGGTGTCCTGCTTATAGCACACATCCACAGTATTTAGGAATTAGTGCAAAGACTGCTTTGGGTCAAAATAATGTGTCTTGCAAGAATCAATTAATTTTTCATAGATTTCATTTACTTCTTTTTTAGATATATATAAACATGATAAAGATGAGGTGACCTGTTTTCAAACCAAATGTCAAAACAGAAATGTTAAATAGTTAAACAGAATAAACTAAATGAAATTATGTCACATGTTTTAGGATAAAACAAAACTATTTAATTTATGAAATGAAACAGTTTAAAATTGAAATGATTTTATTATTGAAAATTCCTCATGAATCTACAATGCTATTTCAATTATTAGGCAAGAATATAAACCAGAAGCTTAAGTAAAATTGAGAATGGAAATATGTTTTACCTGATTATAAATTACAAATGAATCTGGATTTACATTTCAGGATTTATTCTGACTATTAAGTGTCAGAAAAATCATATGGGTTTAGTTAATTCTAAAATAAACCAGCAATTTTATAATCAGTATATAAGCAAGTGTATAGTTGATAATAAAAACGGAGATGTAATATAATTGTCAATGAGACATCCTACTACCAGAGACCAATTGACATAGAAGTTTACAATTATAGGTCACCGTACGGCCTTCAAAAACCGTAAACAATGAGCAAATTACATAAATGTCTATAAAACAAAGAAAAAAAGATGAAAATGTATAATAAATACATTGACAATTTGTGTAAACAGTGGCAGAACAATCTCAAACAGTCGAATATTTTATTTTAGGTTTATTGACTTTTTTGATGTTATATTTTAGGTATGGAAGAACCACAGTTTCAACCCTGGAAACAAAAGTGCAGAGTTTAGAGAAAGACAATGGGAGACTAAATAAAGCTTTGGAGAAAAGTGATAAATACATTGAAGAATTACAGAAGGATGTAGAAAATTATAGGGGAAAGGACAGAAACCAAAGTTCAGCCCACAAAGATTACTTAGCCAGTCAAGAGCCGTATGATAATCCTTCAAAAAGAAAACTCTTTACGGAACCTGTTGTCAACGGTGAGTCTTACAGGCATGCTTTGGATGATGAATATCTTAAGTCATATAAAACTACAAAATCAAATTTAAAAAGCAGCAACGGAAACATTAACGAGAGGGACTATTTAAGTTCTTATCAATCTAATAGCTACAGTAAAGTAAACGGAAAATCAGGAAAGAGGGTAACATTTGAATTACCACATGACAAAAATGTCACAACTTCCTTTGACCTAGAAATGCCTAGTCCAATGAAACAACATTCATCTATCAGCTTATCATCTCCAGTTAAAGGAGTTCTGAAAAAGTCACAGAATGATTCTTTGAATCTGTCGAAACCCAGCAGTATTGAAGACAATAGAAGTTATAAATCTTTCTCTAAAGATGACAGTGATATGTACATTCCAAAGACTAAGTCTTATGAACGAACTGATGACAATTTATGGAAAAGGTCATCAAATGGACATGATGAGAGTTTGAATGATAGTTTTGCACTTGAAAATCCTCGTAAATCTTATAGAACAGATAAAGGATTTGACGACACACAACAGATCCAGAGGGAACTGGATGATTTAGATATTTCTCTAACACCGGACTTTACCGACTGCATGAAGTTACTTAATCGTGCAGAAAAGAAAGTTCACAATCTTAATGATGATTCCAGCATGGATTTACCGTCCAAAACCTATCAAAATACTGATAACTTTGTTGATGATTATAAAACAAAAGATCTTCACGATTTTAAGTCTAGAGATTCATTACTAGATGATATAGGAACATACATACCAGAGAGTACATATTCTTCAAAATACTATAACAGTAATGGTCCGACTAGTAGTAGTGATTTATACGGTCCATCTAGTCTTCCTTCGTACAGTGCTACTTATAGAACAGGGAGTGATCGAACAGAAAGTGCCTTGCCAACAGATATGAAATACACAAAGGACTTTCCACAACACAGAGCATCTTTGGACTCACTTAACTTTAAAGATGATAATGATATTGGAAGCACATATTCATCATCTGTAAACAAAAAATATCCGACTTCTCTAAGGTTTGGTAGAAGTCCATCGTTAGATAATTTATATATGTCTAAACCAGCAGAGAGTTTAGTAAGCCATACAGCTGATGATATTCCTAGAGACTACAAAGTTAGAAGCTCACTGCCGAGTTACAGCTCGTTACGTGATGACAGTCACGGTAAGGATTATGTATCCTCACTTCCTCCTAGGCCACAGTCTGTTAGATCACGGTCTTATTCTGATATGGGTACAACGGTTTCTTCATTATCACGAGGTAAAACGGGTATGTCTAATATCCCAAGCACTTACCCTGTTAGTTCAGAAGGCATTACCACAACATCCTCAGCATTGTATAGTGGTGATAAATCTTCTTTGTATACAACTAGCACTCACGGGCCTGTTAAAGCACATTCAACATTTGCCTATACAGATGTTGATTTGGGTGTCAATCCAAGAAACCGAGCTTCAACGGAAGGTTTGAGAACACGGTCGTCAAGTTTAGACATTCCATTAACAGAATTAACCAAGTATAGCTCTACCCAGTCTAATCCTGAGTATCCCGTCTCATTTACAGGTTCACAGTATACAGATTCCAATACAAGATACAGTTCATCATATATACCATCTTCTACAGCCTCCCTCAAACCTATACAAGAATCGGCTTATAGCTATATCTCCAATAGCTCAAGTTTAGGTAACGGTACAGACTCTTACCTTCCAGAACCAAAGAAAAGGTTGTTTGACTCTAGTGATGACTTAGAAATGTCACTTAGTCCTATCAAGGCTACGCGTAAAATGTAAAAGATTATGAATAATTTTATTGTGTTTCATTGAAGTTATTTCATATGTTAGATAAATTGTGCAGTAGATCATATTAAGTATTCACACAGTTCTTGCAAAGGCTATATAGCTTCTTCTAAAGTCTTAGTCATAGGAAATGTCACTTAATACTATAACAGGTACTTTTTAAGTACAGTATAATTTGCATTACAAGACCCTTTAAATATCAAATCTACTTCTAAAATTTTAAAAAGTAGAGCATATATAGTACTGTTCATCACAAAGATATTTTTGTTAGTCCTATCAGGGATACTTGTGAAATATAAAAGAAAATTTATTATTTAATTCTTAAGTCAAAAATGTTTGCACTGCACATCATAAGAAACACAACATCATTCATTACAATATACATGTAGTCGAAATTTAGAGTAATGCATTGTATGAATATTTTTGTCTGATTCATTTTTTAAGTTACAGTTATTGATTTGAACTTTTTTATTTTGTTTTTTTATTTACGCTAGATAGATTTTTAAGGTAATTGTTTTAAGCATCAAGTTTTTAGAAAACTTTCAGAAGTCTAGGTTTTTTGGTTTGTCAAAATGTTTCTAGCATAGATCAATTTAGAACTGTTGTTATAAAATTGTCCAAAATTTGTGTAATGTTTGCTCTCACATAGTTGTATTTATATAATATTGTACAGATTTTTTTTTGTACAAATGACTTTTTTTAATTTTTTTTATATAAATCTTGTCACCTTTGTAGATCAATGATTTTTGAACAGATGATATTGTTTATTGCTATACAGTATTTTATGTGATATCCTATTGATCTGATTATACAAAGCTGTCAATTTTTGTTCATTTGTGTTATTGGGTTGGTAACTTATTGACCTTTATCCCATATGATTATTTTATTCAATGTCATTCATTGTTAGTTGTAAAGTAGGGATATATAATGATTATATACGGAGGTCATTCATTGTTAGTTGTAAAGTAGGGATATATAATGATTATATACTGAGGTCATTCCTTGTTAGTTGTAAAGTAGGGATATATAATGATTATATACTGAGAAACACAACTACTATATGTATTTTCTATTTAATGAAAATTAGAAATCAACAGATCTTTGGAAGTTGACCAATTATTGTTAGATTTTAAAGACATCTTATGATATGCATACAAAACATTTCCTGCAATTTTCAGGTTAAAACATTTACAAATTCTACCTTTGAAAAAAAGGAAATTGCACTTTGTTGTCAAATTTCTACCATAATGAGTCCCTCTAGCAAAGCTTATAAAATAACTAATACAGATATACAAACTTTGTATTTGTTCCAGTGTATGGATATATAATTTGTGAGTTTTGCCTTTTATGCCTTTTAACTACTATGGGGGGACTAATGGCAAAGATTGAGCAGAGAAAAGCATTGATGTGAGACCAAATTATTATATAACATACATGTATACTATAGTCAAATGTCTGAGTTGCTTTTAAAGAAAATAAGTGTATCTTTATCTTTATGGGGGCTTGGGATTGATATGTTGTGTTTCTATCGTCACTCAGTAAATATAGTTTAAGAGAGAAAATAGAATTGGGAACATTTATGCTTTTATCGTTGATCTTTTAAAATATAATCTTGTGTGTCTTAATTCTACTAAACTCATCTTGAAGAAAATCTATTGAAAATGTCAAATTCAATTTTTAGTTTTATGTTTTTATTTCTTGTCCTGATATGTCATCTTGATAGCCTCTATCATCTTTTTACTGTTTCTTTTTTGGATATTTTCTAGTTTTTGTCATTGGAACCATTTGATATTTTGACACAGCCTTATATTATGTATTCCTAATTGAAAGTCAAGTGACAAATATGAGTCCCATCTTTATGGCTTGGAGTTAACTTTTTATATTGTAAGCAAATTTTTTATGTATATTCAATAACAATTCAGCTATCAACCTGAATATTCATAAGAGCTGACAAAAATACCAGTTGATTGATTATAATAATATTGTATAGACAAATCTAAGATATAAATCATTATGTTTTGCACTTGTAGAATTACATATTTTACCATTCATGTATTAATGTAAGAGTGAAAACATTGTTTTACTATATTTTTTTTGTAATTAAGGCATTTAAGAGATCGACACATTCTGTAGAAATTGTATGTTTGTTATGTTATCATGTTTCTGTGTCACTGATCTATACCTCACTTGATTTGTCTTTATTTTACATGTACAATCTGTACACCATGCTTGTGATTTATCATAGCCTGAATCATGATTGTTTATATATATATTGACTCAAGAAAACATATTGTTATTTAAAAAAAAATGTGTTGAACTCTTATTTTGACAATTTTATATATACCTTGCTAGCTATATAGACATTATAGTGACATGACCAAAGAAAGAAAGATTAATGCCTTGAAATTTTTTAGCTACATGTATCTGAATTGCTTAGTTAAATCTCATTTTTTTTAATTCATTATTTAAACACTCATTTTTGAATATTACAAAATCGTGATCTGCCAACAGCATTAATTTTTAGCCCTGTTGCATTGTCTATTTTTTCAAAAATAGCCAAACTGTTAAAAATAAACAATAAATTTGTCTGCTTGCAAGTATTAATATCAAGTCCTGTTTGCCTATAAATTATGTTGTAATTGACTCATCTATTTGCTACTCTTACTCCTTACTCTAAAAATGAATTATTGAAGTAAACAGCTGATAGATTGGTCAAGGTAATACTTATAAATATTGTATTGTAAAAAGTTGTTTTTTTTTTGTTATCATGGCCAGTTAGTCATATATATATACCATTTATAAAATATTTTTCATGTTTAAATAATTTATCAGTCATTTTCGTATATATATTTAGTACCTGTATCATCAAGATAAGCTAAATATTTTTCTCTTGTTCTTTAATCTGGCTGGCTGTTTGTCACAAAAGCTTGTAAACATTAGATTTCCAACAGCACAAATTGTAATGGAACGAAAAGACTACATTTGCTTTGTAACTTGTGCAGTTGTGATTTTCAAAATTTTGCGTGAATTAGAGAACATTAACTTTAATTGTTCATCGTATATGAAAGCATGAACAAACATTTTATAACCCTACTCATAGTAGTATGTCTAATACACTGCACTTGTAAATTTCTCTGCACTCGTTTTTAAATACATTATACATGAAATTTTATCCATCTCTTTGCATTTAAGGTGTTGGTTTTTGTACAAAGCATTTCAAAGCATTTACAGAAGTATAATTCTGACCTATGGTGCTATTTTAACATATATTTTACAGTTGTTTTATTGCCTAATTTTAAACTTATCTCAAAAAGGAAGGTCTCCTGCATTTTATTTTTTATTCTTCAAAATTGAATAAAAATTTATTATTTATTCTCATTTTCATATCTGTTAGGGTCAAAAATTGGAAGTATGTTTTTTTATAAATCTGATTCCGTAATCAGTATCAACTTTTAATACCGGTAGGTGAAAAAAAAGAACTTAAAGGATCTAAAAATTGTGGCAGCCATCTTGAATCTCAGTTGGTATAGATTTTTTTATGAATTGGGAAAGTGAGTAGGTCTGATGAATTTGTATAGCTAGGAGGAACATCTGTTAGTCAAGTATGGATATGAAGTCTCATTCTGTCTTTTTGTATTAAAGAATGAAGGATTAAATTTATATGAAAAAAAAGAAGATATTATATAAACTACAATTGCCTATTAGAGATAACTATGCCCCAAAAGTCCAAAGGATGAGGACAGTTGTGTAACTTGATGATGTTTAATCATATATAAACCTTTTATAGGATTTTTTATGTTGTCGGAGTAAAATAATTTATACAAAAGGTCATAATTGTTAGAAAACTGATCTTCACAATAATGCTCCTTTGACAATTGTAAATAGATATAGGAAGATGTGGTATGAGTGCCAATGAGACAACTCTCCATTCAAGTTACAATTTATAAAAGTAAACCATTATAGGTCAAGGTACGGCCTTCAACACTGAGCATTGGCTCACACCAATCAGCAAGCTATAAAGGGCCCCAAAAAATTACTAGTGTAAAACCATTCAAACAGAAAAACCAACGTTCTAATCTATATAAAAACGAGAAACACGTATGAACCACATAAACAGACGACAACTACTGTAATCAGACTCCTGACCCAGGACAGGCGCAAACATTTGCAGCGGGATCAAAGTATTTATTATTCTTAATAATTGCATAGGCATAGAATTTTTTTCCTCAACATCCATGATGGTCAACCTGAATTGTATTAATGCCCTACTTTTTTCCCGATTAGATGTATGTGTAAAGATGAAGACTAATTTACTGATCAAAATTAAATGAAAAATGTAATATTTAAGCGTGCCATAATTCATAATTAGAAATTAAAGTTGTAGTTAAATGTAATATTAGAAATTTGTTCATCAGTTTATTATAGAAATGTTTTCATGAAAAGAATTAACATTTGCTTACTTTCACCTCTCGTCTCTCCCTGAAATCCCCAAAACTAAAAATAAATGTGTGTGGCCTTATCAAATATGTTTGGTAGCAGTAAAATAAGAGCCAAAGAATGAGACAGGGTTTATTAATTATTTAAATGTGAATGACTGATCCTTTAAGGAATATTTAACAAGGATTGTATAACTTAGTTTTTTAACCAATTTACACATTTTAAATGTTTCATACCATATTAATTTATATTAATTATATAGTAATTTATTCTGTACTGATACAGTTTGAAATACAGATTTAGCATTGATTACTTTTATTTATTAAATATATGTATATTGTGTTTAGACTTTGGACTTAACTTTTAATCTTTGTCACAAGAACTGTACAGGTATACTGTAAATTTAACTTTGTGTATGTATATTGAAAAGGGAATTTTCAAAACTACTTATTATGCAAGATTTATTGTGATACTGGTACATATTGTAGCAGAATGACTGACAAAAATTAAAATGCTAGTTTTAACCATTGTTTTATTTCATCCTCTCACATTTCATCTCCTCGTCCACTAAGATAATATCCATGTCCATAATTCAATCCTCCTAAAATCCAACAGTTGTTCACTTGTTCCTAGTTAGACCTGTTAGTATTGAGCTGACTTTGATTTGTTGTAATGATAGATACAAATCAAGTAAGTCTAGGATGATCTACAATATTTTTATGCCGCTATGGGAAGGGGATGTTATGGTTTACTCTTGTCTGTCCATACGTACATCTTTCTATTCTCTAACTTTAGATTGTCTCAACCAAATGATACTTGTACACAATGCTAAATACCACCAAACACAAATTAAGTTCAAACTTGGTTGGCATCAATTTTACTGTGCTCAAGTTATGTCCCTTTATAAATGGAAGAATTGCTGAATTTGCTGTATATTTACAAGCAGGGAGGGGACATCTGTGTCCCATTAACAAAATTCTTTAAATTTTTTTTGGAGTTAGGCAATAGGTTGGAAGCATTCATGTGATCTCAGCACATCCAATATAAAAAAAATTATAGGAATTACAAAAAAAACCACTTCTAACATTTTTACTGATTTGATGGTCTAGTGGAATTGGTTACATTTCTTTGAAGATGTGGCATTTGGTCCCTGGCTTGGTCAAATAAATGACTTGAAAATTGGTATTTGCTACTTTTCTGAAAAGCATGTGGCATTTAGGAGAAAGAGCAGACTAAGTGTCTAAGAGTCAAAATAATGTGTCTTGGTAGGTGATGTGTCTTCCTGCAGACAGCTGCTTTGTAAACAAGATGTTTAAAATCTGGAACATTGTTTTCTATGTTTTTGGTTTGTACAATGGAAGTTTAATGTTCCTATCACATAAACATGTTCTCTTTCTAGATATGCATGCAATATTTGCCACTGGACTTTAAGCACTCATCCATTGTAACATCTAGCCAACATTAATTTCTGAAGGAGTTGGCCCAGTAAGACCTCTTTTTGGCCCCAAAATATAGAATTTTTACAAATTTGTTAACTTTTAACTATTTATTGGAAATTAGAATACTTTTGTTACATAAATATGGGCTGTTTTGGACAATACAATGCACATGCATCAGGTACTAGCATCATTATTTCATGCAAAATTACTGAAATCTTCACAATTTTAGCATTTGTGCTAATTTTTAGAAATTTTTTGTCTAAAATGGAAGTGGCCGCACTTGTGTTCAATCTTATTATTTGAATATATGTTGTATTTGATGATAATTCATAACATGTATAAAGGTTGAGACTGAACACGAATGCGGCAACTTACATATTAGACAAAAACCATCTGAAAAGTGTCCTTTTATGGCATATTTGATACATTTTTCATATTTAAGCTTGAATATGAGTGCCTTTAATGACCAAATCTTTTCAAATCTTTAACACAAACTAATTAAATCAGCTGAAGTAGACACTTAGGGTAACTTCGAATGGATATCTAGAGTAGATGGGATTGACATTGTCATATATACCACCTGTTATGATTGGATTAGCTTTCCCGCCATTAGAACTCGAGGAGCCCTTGGTTGTGGCAGGGTTCTTTGAGATCGACATGATATCCTGGATGTTATGACGTCAATCCAATCAAATTTGAATGCAAACATATTCAGAGTAGGGGCCTTGTACTTCCGGTTATCTAGAGACCTTACTCTTCAAAATTATTTACTGTTCATATGGAACTCTAGTCAGAACTCGGGTTCCAAATGAAGACGGCCTTAAGTGTTAAAAAAATGTCAAAAATCTTTCATCAGATGCATTTCAAATTTTAGGCCAAAACTAGCCACTACTGGACCTTCTCCTGTAAATGGTTACTGTGGCCTTACTGTGGACTTGTTGATCATTTGCAATACTTCAATTTGTACTGAGACTTTTTTCAGAGTGTTGGACTAAGTTGTTAATAATTAAACGGAAATCATCTTTATCCCAAATAGCTATCCCATCAAACATGCTCATCATGATCAGCTGTAAGTCAGCATTATTCAATATGTATGAGACATCTTCCTACAGACCGTTACCATGAGGGCTATTATGTTACATTTCTCAACTTACTGGCCTATTTTTTAAAGCAGGATGATGGGTTCATGTTCTAGACCTAAATATAATTCTATAATCAACACCATCCATTTTGGGATCCATTTCATAACAATAACTTGTTATATCACTTGTATTTATTGGACACACTTTTACATATGCATCCATTATTCTCGGATGCAAACTGCCACGAATTAGGGGCACTTTCATTCAGACATATAAATGTTTATTTTTATACTCCAGCTCGGAGGGAGATGGTAAACTGATTTACCTCTACCCATGTGTCAATCTGTCTGCATAGTGAATTTTTGTAGTATTTTTCTCAGGAACTTACAATGTACTGGAAAACATTTAGGGAATATTTTGAATTGGGAGTTATCTTCCTTTGTCTACAATAGTAGATGACCCTCTATGACAGTATGGTTTACAAAAATACACATCATTAGAGAAGAGGCTTGGAAGATATAGCTATCAAGCCAGTAACATAACAGTTTTGATTGCATTTATTGCAATCTTTAACCTTAAAACGTAGGAAAAGATTTCCTGAAACAAACAAAAACTGTAATTATCTTTAAAGGAAACATAAATATATCATGGCATGTGATCAATGTCTTTTTACTGAAGACTTTAATTAGATGAGTATATTAATCGCATCTGTCCTAATTTGAGTTTGAAATAAAGGATGCCATAGATACAGAATTAAGTCTGCTTCAAATCTTTATTTACATCTAGAAACTGACAAAGAGGATCAGTTGAGAACTAAACTTTACAAGTGATGATTTCAAATTTTCCATTGTTAACTTTCAATTTCTGTGCAGCAACATTCCAGCATTGCCATCACATGATTATATATAACCCAGTTGATAAAATATTCCAGCAGTGCCATCACATGGAGAATATATAACCAAGTTGATACAATATTCTAGCACTTGGACTTCCTATCATGATTTCCTTGATAGAAGGTAACAGCTAACAAGAAATCTTTTGAAACAAGGGTTGCAAATGGTAAAGTTGAAGTCTTCCTTTAGAAAGTTTGTCAGTTATTGAATATCTGTCTCAAAGATTACCTCTTTTCCTTGATTGTGACATCTCAAATTTTACTTTTCAATGAGTCATATGATGTGTGCCACTAGTGGAGCAGGAACTGCTTACACTATCAAAGTTCACCCCAGCTTTTAATGGAGTCCGTGTAACTCAATCTTTAATTTTCTGTCTAGCGTTTTGTAGAATTATTTTATCATTTTTCTTTTTAGCCATGAAGTTGTTGGTTTTATTTGTCTTGTGATTTTTGATTGCCCCTTGGTTTCTTCTCCCTCATATTAAATATCAATACTGGTTCCCATGGTTCCAGGCTAGATATCCTAACCGAATGAAGAGGGTAGGAATGGGGTACCCAACATGACAACTGACGGTAAAATATTTGTTAAAATAACATTAAAGAGAAACATTGTACTCCATTTGACGTAAATGGTAGCTACAAAATGAGATTTAACGAAGGACGTTAAAAAAATTACGGCCCATTTGAAACTAACAGTAGTGAAAAACGGACATTGGACGCTTGACGATAAAGGGCATTCCAACCATCAATAAACAACAAAAAAACTTGGAGAGACAGCAACAATAATCAATAAGATCCCATCTTTGTACAGGAACATAAAGTTTGTTGCCAAATTGAAGTAGATGTTTTAAAACTGGAGGTATGTGAATTTTTTAATTGTAATATATCATTTCTAAATTTACTTATAGCAGAATAACAAATGCAAATTTACATTAAAAAATCTCTTTTCCTCGTAACTTGGCCTTACAATAAGTACACAACATGTTCAAATATAGAAGCTATAAAACAACAAAGATTAATACAGCAGAAAACATTTATCTGTAAAACCAATTATTCTTGCAGGTGATTAATCATATTCAAACTGTCACACATCTTTAATTTATAAAAGGGTTACACTAAACAGACATTACGTGTAATGCCAACACTGAAACATCTTTGAAAAAAAAGTTACACATAATCTTTTGCTATACACCCAAAATCATTTCAGAAACAAGAACCTTCAGCAATAAAAGTCAAAATTCTATTTACAGTAAAAAGTCTATGCAACTTAACAAAATGCAATTTTGGCCCATTTTCCCATTTATAATTATGCTACCACAAATCTGATTCAAGAATCTACCATCATTAGATATTTTTTTCAGGAAACAGAAACAGTTTTATGAGGTAGAGACAAACTGAACCCCTATTAGCTAGGAATTGTTGGTGCTATGCAAAATTCCTTTACGCAATAGAAAAAGCTCTTGTCAAGAAATCCCTTCAAAACAAATTAATGCACAAGTTTTTATGTAACATAAATGTAAGAGTACACTTTTTGGCTCCAAATAAAAGCTACCTTAAATCTGATTAAAATTTAGACAAGGATTATATCACCTCTGTTTAATAGCAAAAATGAGATTAAATATATAGAAAACAAAAAGTTGCGTCCTAAGGACTCCCTGTCCCTCCAATTATCGCAATATCATATTTCAAAGTTCAGTGAACTGCAAAATCTGTTTTTATTTTCAACATTTCCAAAATTTTCAAAAGAACATGTGTAAAAAATTTCCATGGTTAACTGACTTAAACTAAAACCTTAACTTGTTACTGGACGGACTAGTGACCTGATGAACACACACAGAGACCAAAATACATAATGCCCCCTTACTATCATAGGTGAGGCAAGAAACACATAATAAAATTTAATGAATATTAAGTTCTGTGCATCAAAAAACTAGGGTCATTTCAGAAACTGGGCTCAAAATTCCTAAATCAAAACCATCCTTCATTTTGTGCAAAGAAATATATGTAGTTGCAATTTTCTAATGATCAGTCAATCACATGAATATAATTTAGTTTATTGTGAACAAACACAATGTCTTAGATGAATAACTACCATCACAAAAACATCTTAATACAAATAAATGTATGACTATGAAAGTTGGAGATCATTTAAAAAGTCAGAAATGCTGAATAAGCTTTATTCTTGTAACTTTACCTTAGTTCTGCCAGAACAACTTTTAAAATTTACCCGAGTTCAACAGATACCAGTTAATGTGTTGTTACAATCTGAATAGGATTAACCAATTGCAAGAAAATAGATTAACACATGAAAAGTTTCTGCTGTAAGACAGCTTTATCATCAGACACTAGAGTTTATAAATAAATATCTATTTCAAAATACAATACCTATAAATAGATTATTTTATGATAAATATTCAAAACATTGTTTCTCTCTACAAATTTTACCTATTCTAATATTTAAATTACTAACAACAGTATATTAACATTCATACAATGGTATATATAAATTCATTTTATAAAAAGGCACATAAAACTGCAAAAAGGGCAATAAAACTTGTAAAGTAAATAAGATAGAAGAAAATAACAAGATATATTTTGAGCTAACAAATATCCTACTCCTACAGAAAATTTCCTTTTTTTCATAAGGGCTATTCCATTAAAATATATGTGGGAGGGTAGGAAAGGGAAGTTTAATTATTGAGTGTGGGTCATGGGTCTTTTTTCAGTATGCATCTATTACCATTATGCAAAATTATCTAAAAAATGGTTCTTGGTTGTAGGGATATTTTGAAAGTCCCTTCCTACCCTCCCACATACATTTTAATGGAATAGCCCTAAAATAGGTTTCAATGCTATTATAAGTTTTAAATACTACTATAACAATGACATTATTATTATTTAGAGAACAGATACTAGATTCATTCACCATGCACAATTTATGCAATTTTCAGTATGGTTATATACATGTATGCATTTCATTTTGTAAATTGAATATCTGAGTATATATTTCAATGATAAATTTCATGAATAGGATGTTAAGAATGTTGTCCACGATGCACTGGTTTTTTTTTTATCTCAAAAGTAGTGGTAAAGTCTGGAAAATTAATAACTATCAAACCTACCCTATAAGGGTTTTAATTGCATGAATAAACTCTTTACCCCTCCACCCCCACCCCCAACCCAGCCCACCCCACCCCTCCCCAAAAAAAACCCCAAAAATGTTTTTGAAGTACAATATATAATCAAATTGGTTTGTTTTTCTCATAACTATCATCAGCAGATCTCTAACAGCTAATTCTATAAAAAAAAATGAAATTTGGGATAACATGCTTCTCTTATCCTATTCACTATAATTTAGACTAAACCTGAGCGCAGACAATTGATCATAATGGCTCAAGATAGGTTCTTATTTTGGATAGTGACCACACAATTAAAAATGTACATTCCATTTATAATGAATACATATTTCAAAAAGTAAATGATGCTTCACAAAACACACAAAAAAAACTGTTGATACTGACCATGGAATTAGATAACATAGCAAAATGGCCAAAACAAAATGACTAATGGCTTCTGTTAATAATTTATACTCATTATCTTTCATTTTCTGTATTTGCATAATGTAAAAGCAGCATCATCCAGCCATGCCAGTTATCACCTGTCCCATTAGAGCTTACAGATTCCATTGTCTTATTTGTTAATAACTTAAATGTAATACACATTATAATTTTTTTGGTTGCTTGAAAAAAGTTGACATAAATTGAATGCCCATTTGAAATTTATATTATCAGTTCATAAAATTTAAACATATTAAACAATAAAGCTCCACATCCTCATTTTATTCCAATGAATCTGTATGCTCCATGTGGATTGACAACAAATTTAATTTCCACAAAGATACACATAACTAACATCAATAAATGTATAATTATACAAATTTGTAGACAAAAGAATCATGAGTCACCCTTGAACTAAAGATCTCACTCTACAAGGCCCCCTACCCTCACACACAGGTTTGTCCCCAACTACTTTGTAGCATCAAGTGAAGAACTATGGCACAATAGTTTCTGATTTTGTTTCAGATTTAAAATATATGTAAAAACATCTTCATTAAAATACTTTTTCAAGTAACATTTGGTGAACTACTGCATCATTTCAATAACAAGAGGCTCACCTTACCCTGTATATCTCAACTGGTGCTAATATCATATATGGTTTATAGTCTCTACTGTGTGTCCCTCTTACCTCAAACAGAAGTATTCAATGCACACTAAAAATATTATATACATCCAGGGACTTTAAGTTAAAAGGATTGATTATCTTTTATAAAGATGCACAATCATTCAAAATTTTGAAACAATTTACAGTAAACATATGTGTGTGACATTGTCATCCTACATAGTGCTGACATCATCATTTTTAACTAAACAAGAAAATACACATGCCGAGAATAAAATATCACTTCCGCAAATGATTGTTAGCAGTTTTGTTCAATCAAAAAGGATATAATATACTATTATAAAAAACTAATATTAGTATAAGTTTAAAGGTGCTGTCAAACAAAGTATTCTATACAAAAATGTATTTCCATAAGTTCAAATAAATAACTTTTATATCCCATGCATGATGGTGGACATACTGGTTAGATAGGCTCCACACAAAAAAAACATCAGTGGAGGATTGTTTGTTTATTATCATTTAAGCAGTTCCCAAGATGAAGATCATTACATGAAAGTAAAAGATATTGATTGATGGATTGTTAGTGTTTAACTGCCACTTTCACCACTCTTGGCTATATCACTGCCACCAGTTTTTATTGATGGAGCATGCCAGAGAGCCGACTGATCCCCTGACCGTCGACAGGAAAACTAGCAGTCTTAGTCAATTTAGATTGGGGTTTAATTTATTGTAAAATATATTGTTTATGGTGCTAGTTATGAAAAATGCCTCCTATATAAACACTAACATTTTATTCTGGAACAGATTAATGAATTACCCTTAAATATCATAATTATCTAAAATTCAATATTGTTTTAATTTTCTTATGAGGAACATAGTAAAACAAAAACCATGATATTACAATAAAAAAAAATCACAGTTCATTTTCTAAAGTTTCAACTAAAAACAGCAATTTCAAATTTAATACAAACAAAGCACATGTGCTTTATACAAACAACAAATCATAACTGCTATTTGTATAACAATACATTAATTCAGAATACTAAATTTTCATCTAAAAATTAAAATCATAATAAAAACAACTAGAAAAATTAAAGCAGATCTCACAAATTATTATCCCCACCCCTTTTTACCTCAATTGTTTGTTTGTTGATGTTCAACACTACTTTCAGCAATCTTGACCTAATCATGGCAGCCAGTTTTTTGGTGGAGGAAGCCAGAGTACCCAAAGAGAACCATGCCCTTAAACTGGTAAACTGGCATAAGAAGTCCTTCTGCTTCTAAAATTAAACCTTCAAAATAACATCCAATTTTTTGCTATTTTGGACAAAATACTATGTAGTCCCACTTGTTTGGTAGATCAGTAAAAGTAAATCCCTAGAAAGATTTTAGTATAAATTGGACCAAAAAATCTGATTAGTTTGGTTGATAGGGTTATCATATAAAATTAAATAGGACAATTTCTAGAAATCCTGTCATATTGGTTTTGTTGGAAACTTTAAAAGTAAAGAACAATTTAATGCTAACTTGGACCAAATGATTACGGTATATTGGTTTAATATCTTTGAAAAGAAACTATAAAGTGATTGCAAAATAACGCATGGCTTTATGTCACCTATATGCCTACAAATATGAAGTAAATGTTTTAATTACAGCATAATGTAAGAATCAGTGTAAAAAAAAGTAGTGACCCCTCTAATTATATTTAATTAAAAAGACAGCCATCTATCATCATCAAATTATATTTCAGACAAGCTACAATACAGAATCATAAAAATTTGCTATTTGTAAAAATATAAAAAAAAACCATGAGTTTCTGTTGATGTGGGTTAAAATTGGGTCAATAGACACTAATTCTTTTTATGCACTGTAAACAGAAACAAATATAGGCTTTTCACAATCAAATTCAAGGGTAAATACTAAAGCCTTATACACAATTCACCAAATGAAAACACACAAGCTTTTTTTATATGGCCTTAGTTAATAAAATAGTTATATCAGCTTAAAATTGAAAATTGAAAAACAATTATACTAAAAGACAAAATTAATGTGTATTTAAACAATCCACTGGCTTTATATATCACTTAACTGTCAATGGTTGAAGTAAACAGTACTAAACTACAACCTTCATTTACTCCCAGTGAACTCCTTCTTTCTTTTTCACAAGGAGCGCAACTTTCATTTCACCTTTGCCTTTTACCTGTATTGAACCACGTTCTTCAAATTCAAAAAAATCTCCAAGGATTTCAATAGTTTTGGATGGAACTTGGATCCTACCCATCACTCCTGTAGAGTACATCCTACTTGAAATGTTAACTGTATCCCCCCAAATATCATACAATAGTTTAGTGGTACCGATTACTCCAGAAGTTACTTCTCCAAAATTATAACCTATATTCAGAATGAAATCAAAATTAAATATACTATCGTTAAACCTTTGGACCACATTTTGCATTTCTATACAGAATTCCATCAGCGCCAATAAATGGCCGAATGGATGCTTGTTTTGGGCACGACTTACATCGTTTAAACCTGATGCTGCCATAAATGTACTGGTAATTGTCTTTATTTTCTCTACATCTTTAAAACGTTTATCATCTAAGAGATCTTCATAATCACTAACAAGTTCATTCAAGACTCTGAGATATTCACGTCCACCCTGATAAGATTCATCATAAAATTCATTGAAGTTAACTATAGTTGCAAATATTACTCCTACATCTTTATGGTTTTTGGAGAATTTAGATGTGGTTTTGAGTTGTTCTGAGACATGTTGAGGAATAATATTGTGGAGTAACCAATCAGCTTGTTCTTTATTTTCTTTCATCTGCTGCTTAGCCTTAGCAGCCCCAGAATCACCATGGAAACTGACACGATAACTAATCTCAAATTCTCGGTTTAGAAACCAGATGAGTAAAAACAACAGTAATATATCTAAAATTAGTTCAAAAATAAGTTTATGGTGACCAGAAAAAAGATGAGTTGGATAAGTGGTTGCATCTACGTATGGTGGCATGGTAGAATTACCCGTCACATTTAGTATAACAGACATTGTGGTTGATACTGGCTGTGGTATGAAACACAACTCTACACCAAGCAGAATCAGTAATGTAATCCCGGCTAATGCAGCTAACATGGACTTCATCCAGGAACTCAGCATAGTAAAGTTACAATAATGTAACATAGCCATTACTATGCAATAGCAGAAGAAACGGTCTTGCAGCATTGAACTAAGCACTAGCTGACACGACATATTAGAATAGACAGCTATTACAGGTATACTAGCTAAAACAGCTCCAACTAAGTTACGGCAATACCAGCCAGACAGAAAATGTACGCAACTTGGACAGTCAGCTACTTTTTTCTCATGGCATTTAATATCAGTGAATGTATGCACTAATGCCAACACTTCAATTAATAATGAGACAACAAAAACTGTGATCCATGCTATATTCCTGTTGAAGATAATGAAACAACAAATTGATATCAAAGAGAAAATGATGAATGATACAACTGTTTCTAACAAAGCATGATACCGTGGAGAAGATACAGTGTTCTGGTACTTTAAATCTTCATCATATCGATTCCTATATGCATGTTCCAGATCCATTTTGAGAAAACTAAGAGTAAGTTGATTAATAGGAGGACGGTAAAACAATTCTTTGTTTTTGATATCCACTTGTAGACAAGTGATGATCTGTTGATCATTTATTCTGTGCATTTCCAGCCGATGCTGCCAAGTATCATTCATAGGCACCATGGCTGGATCCTTTATTTCTTCTGAAAAAAAATCAAACAAATTCAGTAATTTTAACATAATACATTGTAAATTCAGAAATGTGTGTGCAATTTAATTTGATTGATTGATTAGTGTTTAATGCCACTTTCAGCACTATTGTGCTATTTTGTTGCGGTCAGTTTTTATTGGTGGAGGAAGCCGGAGTGCCCGGCACGATAACCAACCATCAGTAGGAAAACTGACAATCCTAGTCAATTAAGATTGGAGTCATGCACTATTAAATTTGAATGATTAATAACCAATTTCCAATACTATGGATTAATTTATTTTTAAAGGTACCAATTTTCGTGGTTTGAAGGAAAAATATACGTTTTAAGATATTCAATTTCATGGTTTTGTCAAAGTCTGCAAAAAAGATTTTAGAAAATTGATTCTTGTTGAACATTTACATTTTGAGTTTCGTCTATTACCATGAAATCCATCAAAACTAGTATCCCATGAATAATAATGAATCCACAGTATACACATAAGCTATGTATACTAAAACTAAGGCTACTTTAGGCCTCAGGCAAAAAAGACCTTGTCCACTTTTTGGTCATTCTGTTTAGGCTATTTTGGTTTGAATGCTCTTTTGTTAGGTACTGATGATTCTTTGAAATTTTCATTGAGATCAAGTCCATTGTTAAGAAGAATATGTGGATATAAGATGACTAATCTCTTTAGTAGATATGGCTAAGTCAGTTTTGCTATGAGAATCCCAAAACATCATTTGGATAAAAAATCAACAGAATGCGCACAATACCATAAAACGCCATTAGATACTTACAATTCTCAGGAAACTTCATTTATAATAGCATCCAGGATCTAATTTACAAGGAATTAAAGATCAACACAAAAGATGATTGCATAAACACTAGGTTTAGTATATATCCCAACTTCAGTAAGTGAGGATATAATGATAACAAGTCAAGTTTTAGGTGGTAGTTTGTATTGACCAAATTTTAGGTGGTAGTTTGTATTGACCAAGTTTTAGGTGGTAGTTTGTATTGACCAAGTTTTAGGTGGTAGTTTGTATTGACCAAGTTTTAGGTGGTAGTTTGTATTGACCAAGTTTTAGGTGGTAGTTTGTATTGACCAAGTTTTAGGTGGTAGTTTGTATTGACCAAGTTTTAGGTGGTAGTTTGTATTGACCAAATTTTAGGTGGTAGTTTGTATTGACCAAGTTTTAGATGGAAATTTGTATTGACCAAGTTTTAGGTGGGGAGTTTTTTATTGACCAAGTTTAAGGTGGGAGTTTGTATTGACCAAGCTTTAAGTCAAGTTTCAGGTGGGAGTTTGTATTGACCAAGCTTTAAGTCAAGTTTCAGGTGGGAGTTTGTATTGACCAAGCTTTAAGTCAAGTTTTAGGTGGGAGTTTGTATTGACCAAGCTTTAAGTCAAGTTTTAGGTGGGAGTTTGTATTGACCAAGCTTTAGGTGGGAGTTTGTATTGACCAAGCTTTAGGTGGGAGTTTGTATTGACCAAGTTTTAGGTGGGAGTTTGTATTGACCAAGCTTTAAGTCAAGTTTTAGGTGGGAGTTTATATTGACCAAGCTTTAAGTCAAGTTTTAGGAGGGAGTTTGTATTGACCAAGCTTTAAGTCAAGTTTTAGGTGGGAGTTTGTATTGACCAAGCTTTAAGTCAAGTTTTAGGTGGGAGTTTGTATTGACCAAGCTTTAAGTCAAGTTTTAGGTGGGAGTTTGTATTGACCAAGCTTTAAGTCAAGTTTTAGGTGGGAGTTTATATTGACCAAGCTTTAAGTCAAGTTTTAGGTGGGAGTTTGTATTGACCAAGCTATAAGTCAAGTTTTAGGTGGGAGTTTGTATTGACCAAGCTTTAAGTCAAGTTTTAGGAGGGAGTTTGTATTGACCAAGCTTTAAGTCAAGTTTTAGGTGGGAGTTTATATTGACAAAGCTTTAAGTCAAGTTTCAGGTGGGAGTTTGTATTGACCAAGCTTTAAGTCAAGTTTTAGGAGGGAGTTTGTATTGACCAAGCTTTAAGTCAAGTTTCAGGTGGGAGTTTGTATTGACCAAGCTTTAAGTCAAGTTTTAGGAGGGAGTTTGTATTGACCAAGCTTTAAGTCAAGTTTCAGGTGGGAGTTTGTATTGACCAAGCTTTAAGTCAAGTTTTAGGAGGGAGTTTGTATTGACCAAGCTTTAAGTCAAGTTTCAGGTGGGAGTTTGTATTGACCAAGCTTTAAGTCAAGTTTTAGGAGGGAGTTTTTATTGACAAAGCTTTAAGTCAAGTTTCCCTGAACTTAAGGGCATTAAGCATTATCTAATCATGTAACTTAAAGGTCCATCATTTTTATTCTTCAGTCAAAATATCCTATTAAATGGACTGATTTAAAAAGAATATTCAAGACATTAATCTTGTGATCTGAGAATTTGTAATTCTTTGGATATTGTTTCATATTTTTTACATTAGGAGCCTTTTATAGTCGACTTTACAGTAAGGGTTTTCTCATTGTTGAAGGCCGTACAGTTGCCTAATACCAAATATACTAACCACCCCTACCAATTTTATCCAAGGACTGTTCACTAGCATCATAATATCCACTGCTGTGTCTACGATGGAGAAGTTCTGTGGGAGATACGCCATTCACATCAGCACCCTGCAAATATAGTCAACATACAACATATATAATAGTTAGTATAAACCCTACAAATAGGCTAAACAGGGTCTTTCATACCTGACTATGCAGTATAGATTTTGCTCATTGCTGAAGGCTGTAAAGTGACCTAAAGTTGTTAACTTCTATGTCATTTGTTCTCTGGTTGAGAGTTGTCTCATTGGCAATCATACCACATTTTCTTATTTTTATATCCGTCTTTATTTGTTGTTTACCACATGAACTGAACTTTTACACTTTGTGTTAAACCTGTAAATCACCTGAGATCACCCCCGGTTTTTTGTGGGGTTTGTGTTGCTCAATCTTTAGTTTTCTATGTTGTGTTTGGTATACTGGGGTACTGTTGTTTGTCTTTTGATTGTTTTTTGCCATGGCTTTGTCAGTTTTTTTTCGACTTAGGAGTTTGAATATCCCTGGTATCTTTCGCCTGAGACTCTTTTACTTCTAGAGACATTTTTAAACTGAAAACTTTTTTAAACTTCACTGTTTGCTTACATCCACATCATTTGGACTCTGGTGAACAGAACTTTGTCTAATTGGCAGTCATAACATATCTCCTTATTTTCATCTTGTATAAGGCAATATGAGAGAGTTTCCCCATCTTGGATGTCAAATGACAGCATGTGATGGAGCAAGATTTTAACTGAAATCATCAAATTAATTTCAAAGCTGAAATACAATTTATTTGTGGCACTTTGCATTGAATGAAAGTGATGCAATGATTTTTATCTTTTGGTCATAACTTTCCTAACAAAATAGAATTTTTGTGATAATCTTTTTTTTAAGTGGTCTTTTATAAGGGAAGATAACTCAGAGAATTTAGTTTTATAAAAGAATGTACAATTATAAATTCATTCAGTTTGTCATGAAGCAAGAAAATAAGTGCGGTGACCACAAATTTTTATTCATATTTTCTGGCATGTCTGGCAGCCTTTTGTAAGAGCCTTTTTCTATTTTATCTCAAATTTCAATCATAAAACGTTCTTTCTAGTCCCATAAAAGGCCTGAGAACACAGTTATTTCATAGTGCATTTCTTTCAGACAAAAAAACACAAATTAAAAAAATCGTACCTGCTCTATCCAAAAAGATTTTTACAGTATAGTGTACTACTTTTCAGACCAATTATATCAAAATTATAGAAAAGTCAATCGGCTCTAACTCAAAATATGGACAATTTTATGTTAAGGGGATCTGTAATTCAGTTTGACTGCTTCAGACATAATAATTTTTGACCTTTTCAAACTGGACCAAATCACTATTTTACCTAAAAATTCATGCCCCAAATTTTTTTTACATGTAATTTCATCCCCCTACCTATTATTTTTTGCATGAAATATAAAGGAATAAATTTTGAAGATATATGAAAAAAATTTGCAAGTTATACACTGTCCACACGAGGTACTCTATTCGTAGACAACGAAAATCAAAGGAAGATAACTGTGTCCCCCTATCAATAGTGCCTTTTCTGTTTATATAATCCAAACAAATTATAATTTTTAATAACCTGCAGATTAAATCAAGCTAAGTGTTAAATACTTTTAATATATTTTTCATATGTTTTTGCTCCTATACTACCAATTGTCTTATTCAAAGGGTATATTTTTTTTTCGAATAAGACAAGTGTTGTGTTTTAGGTAGTATGGGAGCATAAACAGAAAATGAAAGATTTTTTTTACACTTTGAGAAAGTGTAGTTCATAAATCCAAAGGATTCAGATAAGACAGGATTCACTCTATGTAAAATGATGAATATTATACATAACTCAGGTGAAACAGAGTTTGGTTAATTAGAAAATTCTCACTGAAAAAATTCTGTCATAATTCCAATATCCATAACTAAATTACAAGCTAAGCTAACCTTAGAATCAAAATGATTTGATAGTCTGGATCCAACTTTCTCTTTGGTCTCCTGAAAATATATTATGTACAATATTAATATTTTCATTGAACGGTAGGGTTTTTAACTTGTTAGTTTACAGGTTTTTAATAATAAAAGTTTGGGTCAGTTGATCAAAATATAAAAGAAGAATCTGTCTGACAACACGAATGCCCCCACTGAAGTTTTGCAATTTTCCAAATTAAAAGGGGGCATAACTCCAGACGGTAAATGACTCACAACCCAAATTTAAACTCTGTCTGTGTGTTGTGGTTCTTAGTAATGTGCACAAGTTTCATAAAATTTGAATGAGGCCAACTTAAGTTAAAAGTGTGGAAATGAAAATGGGACAGATGGACAGACGAAAAGACTGACGGAAGACTTCAGGGGTAACATTTAATGCCCCCATTGCATACGGCACTAGATCAAAACAAGAATGTGTCCATAGTGCACGGATGCCCCACTCGCACTATCATTTTCTATGTTCAGTGGACCGTGAAATTGGGGTCTAAACTCTAAAATGGCATTAAAATTAGAAAGATCATATCATAGGGAACATGTGTACTAAGGCCATAAAAAAGAATATGTTTGTTTGCCCTAACCCTACCTACCCAGAAAATATCTGCCTACTCAAAATCTTTTATTGTCTTGATGTGAAAATTTTTTTTTTTAATCAGATAGGCATGAAGACTAAACACAAGAGTGCACACGCTGAAATGTCTCGCCTTCTTTACTAACCATTGATATTATGTTGATAGTCCTAAATGAAAGCTTTACTACAACTATTACATAAACTTAACATGATCCAAGAAAATGAAGTCAAGGTCATATAAATCAAACGAGAAATACATGTACACCTTACAATCATTCAATACACTAAATATAGTTGACCTATGCTTATAGTTTCTAAGAAACAGACTTAACCAAGAAAACTAAACATTGACCAATGAATCGTGAAAATGAGGTCAAGGTCAGATGAACCATGCTAGGCAGACATGAACAGCTTACAATCCTTCAATACAACAAATATAGCTGACCTATTGCTTATATTTTAAGAAAAACAGACTGAAACACATAAACTTAACACTGAGCAATGAACCGTGAAAATGAGGTCAAGGTCAAATAAAACCTGCGAGACTGACATGTACATCATAGAATATTTCCATACACCAAATATAGTTGACTTATTGCATATAGTATAAGAAAAGAAAGACCAAAACTCAAAAACTTAACTATAACCACTGAACCATGAAAATGAGGTCAAGGTCAGATGACACCTGCCAGCTAGACATGTACACCTTACAATCATTCCATACACCAAATATAGTAGTCCTATTGCATAAAGTATAAGAAAAACGGACCAAAACACAAAAACTTAACAATAACCACTGAACCATGAAAATGAGGTCAAGGTCAGATGACACCTGCCAGATAGACATGTACACCTTACAATCATTCCATACACCAAATGTAGTAGACCTATTGCATTAAGTATAAGAAAAACGGACCAAAACACAAAAACTTAACTATAACCACTGAACCATGAAAATGAGGTCAAGGTCAGATGACACCTGCCAGCTAGACATGAACACCTTACAATCATTCCATACACCAAATATAGTAGACCTATTGCATACAGTATAAGAAAAACGGACCAAAACACAAAAACTTAACTATAACCACTGAACCATGAAAATGAGGTCAAGGTCAGATGACACCTGCCAGTTGGACATGTACACCTTACAGTCCTTCCATACACTGAATATACTAGACCTATTGCTTATAGTATCTGAGATATGGACTTGACCACCAAAACTTGACCTTGTTCACTGATCCATGAAATGAGGTCGAGGTCAAGTGAAAACTGTCTGACAGGCATGAGGACCTTGCAAGGTACGCACATACCAAATATAGTTATCCTATTACTTATAATAAGAGAGAATTTAACATTACAAAAAATCTGAACTTTTTTTTCAAGTAGTCACTGAACCATGAAAATGAGGTCAAGGACATTGGACAGTTGACTGACGGAAACTTCGTAACATGAGGCATCCATATACAAAGTATGAAGCATCCAGACCTTCCACCTTCTAAAATATAAAGCTTTTAAGAAGTTAGCTAACGCCGCCGCCGCAGCCGGATCACTATCCCTATGTCGAGCTTTCTGCGACAAAAGTCGCAGGCTCGACAAAAATCTGACACTTCAATTTCTGTTAGCCGAAAAAAGAAAAGAAAATGCCTACCTACCTACCCACTGTCTCTACTTTTGGGTAGGGTTTGGGCAAAACAAAATATTTTTAGGTGTGGCCTAAGTTTCCAGTTGATTGGACTTCAAATTCATCAAAAACTACCTTGACCAAAAACTTTAACTTGAAAGACCAAAAACTTTAATAGGAAGCGGGACAGATGGACGGACTGACAAATGGACGAACGGACAGACGAACGAACGGACGCACTGACCGAAAAACATAATGCCCATAAATGGGGCATAAAAATAGGGTCTGAGGATCTAAAACCAACAAATAAAAATCCTAGCCTTATGTTGAAAGTCAAAGAATCTAAAATAATCACAAACTTTTTTCAAGTACAAGGAACATAGGAAGAAGTGATATAAGATAACATTTTTCTAATATTAAGATATCTGAAAATCATATGTCAGATTTAATCAAACATTTTTGAAAATTAGAGTTGTCTACCTTCTGCTAGAAAATTACTAATAGGATACATTATTGTGAGATACTTCTTTATGTATACATTCAATTGAGGATTTTTTGCACAACAGTAACAATAAGAACCCTTTAACATAAGGTAACCAATGGCTACCATAAACATGTACTAGGAACATTAAAAGCCATTTAACACAACTACTGTGAATTCATTTATTTTCCTGGGTATCAATTTTCATGAATTAAAAAAAAATTCGTGGATATTTGATTTTGTGGTTTTGCCATAGTCTGTATATAACCTTATAGAAAATATGTAATTCTTTGAAGTCTTAATTCGTGGTTCACCTGTACCCACGAAATCCACAGAAATTTAAGTATCCAACGAGTAATAATGAATCCACAGTATTGTTTGTGTACCTGTTGAATGTATAATGCAGTTGTTATAGGTAATGAAGCATTTACAATGTTTTAATTGTGTACCATCTACCATAAAATATCTTATAAGATCTAGAAACAAAAATTCAAAGCATAAATTGAAAATAAACAAGAAATTATTTTCAGTCCATCCTTGCAATGTTTATTTAAGAGGCAGCTCTTTTCTTTCATATAGAAAGTTGTCAAATCAGTTCAACACAGCTTTCTTTGAAATATGCAAAGGTATTTCATATTTTTATGACAGGGTCCAGATGCCAATCCCGGATTTTTAAAAAAGGGGGACCCAAAAGTAGGCAACATTTGGAGTGGAATATTCAACTTAACTTAAAACCCACAAATAAATCTCACTTGTACATGTTGTATAGCATTTAGTATTAGAATGTCACAATGTAGCAAAGAAACACTATGGAAATGCAAGTTTACAATATATAGAGCAAAATAGAACAAAATGTTATAATTTCTTGCCTTCTGATATGAATTGCAAACTGATACCTGAATTATCTCCCCTTACTAAGACACTCGATAGACCCTTCCTTGGCACACATTGGCAAACAGATACTTAGCTTTACTACCGTGGATTCATTATTATTTGTGGGGTTCATTTTTTACATGTATAAAGGTTAATAGTGAAGTTGAATGTCCAATTAAAATACAATTTTCTATAAAAGGCTTGTATGCAAAATTTGCATACTCACAGAATTGAGAACCTACAAAAATATAATTTTCCTAAATACAAAAAAAAAGTACCTACAAAATAAATGAATCCAGTCTCATGTTGACAAATGAACCTGTTAAATGGCACACATGGATACAACAGATAGTGAGATACTAGACCCCAGACACACACTGACAAAACAGATACAACACTTACCTCCCCTTCCCCAAAACACTTGGAGTTAAATACTTTTGTCTTGCACATGCATAAAATATTTGCCACCTGATGGCCCCTAATTAGAGTGCCACTGGAAATTAAGTAAAATAGAATGAACCATTAAGTACTAGACACTTACCCCTCCTTCCCCTGTAGCACCAGAGAGACCAATCTGTTCTATTTCAACAGTAACATTGTCTGTCTCCCCCAACTTCTCCAAATCTCCACTAGAAGCTTTAGGACTGATTGCTGTTGATCTCTTCTTTGGTTTATGAATAAAATAAGTCTTTATAACTGAAATCAAGCATACTTTGTCAGTATCATCCAATAAATAAAACTTCTACTTCTGTCTAAAAAACTTAATTAAGCAGACCAAACTTTTTAAAATGTTCTTCAATAAGGAAGACTTCATTTGCTAAAGGACAACGAATTGTAGTACTATTTTTATAAAATTTTGTCAGTTTAGGCAAATGTTAAATGTACTATATGAGCCCCCCCCCCTCCTCATTTCATAGAGGGAGAACTTATTACAGCATACAAGAATGAAGAAGTTGATTTTCTGGTTTTCTCATCATGCTCATTATAAAGAGGAATTTGTATGTGTTGTAAGCATGTAGTATGTATTTGTCAGACAGAATTAAGTAACAATGACTGTAATATTCTATTGGTACATACCAAACTGTAGTTCTAGTTACAGACAGAATTAAGTAACAATGACAATTATATCCTATCTATACATACCAAACAGTAGATCTAGTTACAGACAGAATTAAGTAACAATGACAATTATATCCTATCTATACATACCAAAACAGTAGTTCTAGTTCCACTAGGTATTTATTGTTAGTTAAAAATCTACAGATATATACATTTTGAATATAAATCACACTGGTTTCTTGTCTCAGTCTGAAAACTGTTTAACTTAAGTATCACACTGTGTCCTTGTTTAATTATATATCAACCCCGACTTCAACAGAAAAGTCTAAAAGACATTAACATAGGGTCCTTACATAATAACAGACTGGCACAGACATTAGTCCTAAGACTATGGCATTGATATATCATTTATGCATTACAAACAAAAATTTGTCACAGGAAAACTTGACAAAAGTAATGATAGAACAAATTGCTTTTATTCTATATAAAAGAACCGCGGGTCATCGAAAAAAATACAACATGCGTCCTTGATAGGTTTCTTAGCAATTAATTCACACCAAAGTTATGTTAAACCAAATTGGGAAAACTTGCAGATCTACAGATAGTATTATGAAAGTATGGATTGACTGATTGATTGATTGATTGGTGTTTCACACCACTTTCAGCACTATTGGCTATTTTGTTGCGGTTAATTTTTATTGGTGGAGAAAGCCAGGGTGCCAAGAGAAAACTACCAACCTTCTGCAGGAAGATTGACAACCCTATATCTAGTAAATTAAGGTTGGAATTGAAAACATTAGCCACGTATGTGTGAGGAATGAACTCACAACCTTAGTGTTGACAGGCTTGTGATACAGTTAAAAGTATGTACAGACAATGGTTATATAATCTTTACACATAAAATAAAGGCAGACAATATCTTTTATGTTGTGCTAAGGAGACAGATTAACCAGATTTATAATAAATCTATAACCATTGATTTTATAGAGTAAAGATAATTTAATAACTATTCACAACTTATCCAATTTGAATAATATATACTAACAACAATCTTCCGATCACCGATTAATGACTTTTAAATGGTACCACAGTTCTACAAAGATCCTTAACAAATAATGGAATTCATACTACAATTACAAGAATCATATTGATTTGCATCACTAATCATGACAGTAGAAACCATTCATATGTTAATCAATTTCCTTGTAACTGGTCAGTTCAGGACAAATATTTAAATAAAAAGCTATTTCCTTGTAACTGGTCAGTTCAGGACAATAATTTAAATAAAAAGCTATTTTCCATGTAACTGGTAAGTTCAGAACAAAAATTTAAATAAAAAGCTATTTTCCTTGTAACTGGTCAGTTCAGGACAAATATTTAAATAAAAAGCTATTTTCCGTGTAACTGGTCAGTTCAGGACAAATATTTACATAAAAAGCTATTTCCTTGTATCTGGTCAGTTCAGGACAAAATTTTAAATAAAAAGCTATTTTCCGTGTAACTGGTCAGTTCAGGACAAAAATTTAAATAAAAAGCTATTTTCCTTGTAACTGGTCAGTTCAGGACAAATATTTAAATAAAAAGCTATTTCCTTGTATCTGGTCAGTTCAGGACAAATATTCAAATAAAAAGCTATTTTCCATGTAACTGGTCAGTTCAGGACAAACTTTTAAATAAAAAGCTATTTTCCTTGTAACTGGTCAGTTCAGGACAAATATTTAAATAAAAAACTATGACAAGTGTGCATGATACCCCCATAAATTGTTGCAACAATAAAATTGGATATAATTATAGAAGGCATTTAATCAGAAGCAAATAAAATGGATCTGTAGAAAAAACAGGCATGAGGGCAGCCTTAGATGTATAAATATTGTGTCAAATATGACTGTTAAAAAGTCCCTTATATGTATCTGGAATGACAAACCAAAAGCAAGTCTGCATTCACCAATCCCAACAACAGTGTTGAGCTTGTAAAATTTGACCCAAGCATACTTGAGCTAGTGCATGACATTTTTTAAAATGCATTTTTGTGCTGCTATAGAACACAATCAATTAATGATAGTTCTGACTGATAAAAAACTATCAATTTTCAGAGATTTTTTTATCTTATTTAATTTAATTAATGCAGAGTGTAGAACCATAAATTTTATGAATGAAAATCGACACAAAATATGATTTGGAAGGTCTCAGATTTTTACCAGACAATATTCAACCTTATCTGAACATTTATGAATGTAAATTTTCAAAGTCTTCTTTTTTGGAACACACATTTGGTCTTGTAAAGAGTCACTCATTGCTTGACCAAAAAAAATCTAACTTGACTGTCGTATATCACCAAAGTCAAATGAAATGAACATTTTGGAATTACTGCAAATTGCATGCTATAAAAATTCATGATACTGATTCTGTACTCATTACTAATATAGACGTTGCCTTCCTGATTAAATATACTTTCATATTACAGACACAAATTACCTTTTTGATCCTCTTTATGTCTTACAGAAAACTGAGATGTTTCTTTATTATAATCTTCAATCAATACTTTGTATGTCCTGTTATCTGAAATCAAAAATAACTCATAATAAATGACAATATCTATAAGGATGAAACTTGATTACCTCAGTTAAATAATGCATTCAACATTACCCTAAGATTTATAGAATAACGGCATTTTTTTTATTGACTTTGTCAGCAAGGATATCTTGCCAGACCACTAGGGGGAGTTGATATATATTCAAGTTAATGGAGTCTGTTGTATAAAAACTCACACCATTATTCTTTTTATTGGTGATATTTTATTTCAATATCTTTTCTTGAGTTAGAATAAAAAAGTGGTTGAAATAACTCTTTAAACATTTAGAAAGAAATAACTCTTTAAACATTTAGAAAGAAATAACTCTTTAAACATTTAGAAAGAAATAACTCTTTAAACATTTAGAAAGAAATAACTCTTAAAACATTTAGAAAGAAATAACTCTTTAAACATTTAGAAAGAAATAACTCTTTAAAACATTTGGAAAGAAATAACTCTTTAAACATTTAGAAAGAAATAACTCTTTAAATATTTAGAAAGAAATAACTCTTTAAACATTTAGAAAGAAATAACTCTTTAAACATTTAGAAAGAAATAACTCTTTATTAAAAATTTAGAAAATGTTGCTACAGTTGTTTGGTTGTATGAATTTCATTGATAAATTCAAAATGAATCAATAGACATGAAAAATGTGAAATTGCAGCATTGTAAGGTGAAGTCATTGCCTAATATTTTTGAGTATCATTTCCTGATCTCAATATTTTTGATATTTTGGCAGTCTGATCAAAGGGAAAATATACAAATTGCCAATAACTTTCATTGTTATTCATAACAAATCTTTTGTTTCAACATCTTCAAAGACTTCATAGAGTTTTTATTTGGATGCAGTCACTGTGTACTGTTGGGTTGATGTCAAATGTATTACCATACTGCTATGACATACAAATGCACACAACAAATGTATTACCATACTGCTACGGCATACAAATGCACACAACAAATGTATTGCCATACTGCTATGACATACAAATGCACCCAACAAATGTATTGCGATACTGCTATGACATACAAATGCACACAACAAATGTATTGCGATACTGCTATGACATACAAATGCACACAACAAATGTTGTTATCACATAGTCCGTTTCTATGTATGTTGGCGTTTTTGTTTTTGTAGCAGTTCAGTGTTTCTGTTGTTCCGTTTTGTTTCCTCTTATAGTTAATGTGTTTCCCTCAGTTTTGGTTTGTGACCCAGATTTGTTTCAGTTCAATCTATTTATGACTATTGAACAGCGGTATACTACTATTGCCTTTATTTACCATACTGCTATGACATACAAATGTACACAACAAATGTATTGCCATACTGCTATGACATACAAATGCACACAACAAATGTATTGCCATACTGCTATGACATACAAATGTACACAACAAATGATTTGCCATACTGCTATGACATACAAATGTACACAACAAATGTATTACCATACTGCTATGACATACAAATGTACACAACAAATATTACCATACTGCTATGACATACAAATGTACACAACAAATGTATTGCCATACTGCTATGACATACAAATGCACACAACAAATGTATTACCATACTTCTATGACCATGATGACATACATATGTATTGAATATACCTATTATTAATGTGATGCCAGAGAAACAGCAGTTTAGAAGGTAAATCATCCCAACGTGTCCTTGCTTGTCTAGTTCAATTTCTGTCTCAACTATCACAACATCTGTTATATATACTGAGTGCCAATACAAACATAACACTTACAGGGCTACTTTTATATTCCCCTGAGTAAAAATTCAAACATATATATCTACTTTGGAAGTTGACCAATCTTTGTAAGATTTTAGAGATTTCTGCATACTGAATATTTCTGGCAATTTTGTGATCTTTAAGATTTCAAATTTGAGATCTAAACATTTACTAAAATTCAACATTTTTATTCAAAATATAAAGTAAAGCATGGAAAAATTAAACCATAATGAATCCTGTTGACACTCAGTATATAATACCTTGCTGATTAAAAGAAATCTCTGGTTAGTCTGAGCTAGGTAGAAAGCATGTACATGTATATTCACTGTAGACAATGAATAATTATTAATGCTGGATCTTAAATAAATCTTAACCAAATTTCGGGAGATTGTGGCATGTATAGACTCAGACAATGATCTACAAGATCAAACCACATTCTCAGTATAAGGCCAAAAAAAAATATGTGTGTTTCCGGTTTCCAGACTGACCCTATTTTTTTAAAGCCGATTTGCTGACCCTAGCATTTTTTTCGGCAAAAATCGGAAATTCCGGAATTACTCAGATCTCGTTCCGGCAACCGTTCCTCATTTCTCATTATTATATCACCCAACATGGCGGCACACATGCTAGCCGCATCCCCATCCAATCTACAAGTTACTAGTCTATTGGCTTTAAGATTCTTAAAATGTGACCACATGGATATTAAGAAAAAGGAAATCATGGTTGTAGAAAACCGCAGAACACTGCTAGATGTTTTCAAAGATAAACACGGTAAAATGACAAAAACAATTAAAAATTACATGCAACACAGGGCTCAATGGACAACGCTGGAACATGTTTTGAAGTCCAACCAAATATGATTATTGGGGACCTCATTAGCACAAAGACCCTATGGCAAAAAGTGCTAAGATCTTGCAAACTCAATTGAACTCGTCTGTTGGAAATGTGTTTGTATGTTCAATATATTAAAATAAGGTGTTGATAGAGTTATTTTGACATGTGTTTTGAAATTATATTTGCCCTGACATCTTGTCAGAAGTGCAAATTGTACTTTTGCAATCACTTGGCATCTGTCTTCATGCATCAATTATGACATTTATTGAAAAGCAGAGGACATTTACCATGGTCCATCTTTGTTGGCTAAGTCCCTGGATGTAGTCTTAGTACCTTGATATGTGAGACTTGATTGATGATTGGTGAAAATTCTATTCATGGTTTATCTTTATTTCACTTTTATTGCTGTATATGTATCATAGGCACACATATGCATACAAACATACATTGGCTATTTTTTTATTAAAAAAAAAAAAACCCTACCTACGTAACCCTATTTTTTTCAATCATGAAACAGTAAACACACATATTTTTTTTTTTAGCCTAAATTTAAATGAATTATTGTTTAGATTTTCATTATGCATATAAATATAGAATAACCCTTGACAATACAGTGGAACATGTGAATCTTAAAGACAGTGTATGAAGGTCTTTTGTCAGTTACATGGACAGCATATATTTTCAAAAGTAGAAATTTGGCACCTTATAAATGCTCCCCCAATTTCAGCTACACATTGGTGAATGTTCCTAAACATACCATTGGCCAATAATTATCAATTGAAAAATTAAATGACCCCTCATTTGGCATTTATTTTTGGCATTTGTTAACGGTAAACATTTCACTTAATAATGAATCCATTAAATCTCTGTACTTAAGTTTCAAGTTGATGTGACCACAAACTACCTGAAACCAAACCTTTAAACATACTATAAACCAAACATTTAACCTACTATAAACCAAACCTTTAACCTACTATAAAACAAACCTTTCACCTACTATAAACCAAACATTTCTCCTACTATTATGACTATAAACCAAACCTTTAACCTACTATAAACCAAACCTTTAACCTACTATAAACCAAACCTTTAACCTACTATAAACCAATCATTTAACAAGGTACCATAAACCAAACCTTTAACCTACTATAAACCAATCATTTAACAAGGTACTATAAACCAAACCTTTAACCTACTATAATATTAATTCAAACCTTTAGCCTACTATAAACCAAACATTTAACCTTCTATAAACCATACCTTTAACCTACTATAAACCAAACATTTAACCTACAATAAACCAAACCTTTAACAGACAGGAAAAACATTAAACACTCTGCAGCTTTGTTGTATGGGAGTGTGCTTTCTCTAGTATCTTTTAAAAGCACCGTGAGATTTAAAATAGCACTATTTTCCAAAAAGTACAGCATCACATTAATAATCCATTCGTATCTGTTCCAACAATTAGCATCATGGTAAAAAATATAGCAACATGGTACCATAGTGCTATACAAGGTCCAGCAGAGAACACTGGAAATTATATGCAAAAAGAAACCTGAATCATAAGCACTATTACTATAATTAAAGTGTTATAGATCAAATCTATAACTTCTTGATCAGGGGCAAGTGTTCTCCATTCAAGTACATAATTATTTGAATACATTTACAATTATCTAGATTTACTAAACAAAAGTCAATATTTATCAATTCAATAATAAATTGCTTCTATAAATAGACCTGGATATGTCAATAATAGAGAAAACATTTGTACTGGTATAACTATTGATTAGCTATATGATTCTGCCTAGCTTTTTACCCTGGTTTTTCTTGATTAGGCCAAACAAAATGTATGTATAGATCAGATTTCAATCTTTGAAAATAACATATGTATAGGTTTTCAATAGTCATTGCTTATACTGTATGAAGAATCAATAACTCACTCCAAACACTCAAAAATCTTTTAATAGAATGCTCTGAAGATAATTTTTTTTCAAATTAAGCCTTACAATTTTTTGTATTCCTGTCAGCAAAATTGACTATGGATTATAATTAGCTTAGTTTGAGGAAAAGAGTCAACTTTGAAGTTTTCTGCATAATACCAATTTTCAAGCTAGGTAAGACTATAAAATAGCCCAGATGTTTAACAAATTACTCCAATATGATACCTTGTAGTATTACATTCTGTTACTTTTGTTTAACAAGAATTATCTTTCCAGTGTGTGAAATTGATTCTAATACATTTACTGCATTTACAATCAGTTCTCTTTCCCACCCAGTTCCCCCATCTTTGTCCGTTAAAGTTAATAAAAATGTTTATACACTTTTATCAGTTGATTGTAATTGTAAGTCTTATTATGATCTTGTAAATGAAACAACTGCAACACGTCCACTTTATAGGGTGGACA